CACACACACACACACACACACACACACACACACACACACACACACACGCACGCACGCACACCATATAATTATTATTTTTATAGAAATTTAATTTTTACCTAAACATGAATATGTTGTGTAGATTCAGAAAAAAATTTACAGAGTATTAACAATTTTTTTATCTTCCAATGACAAACTAATGAATCAACTTATTATAATTAACAATATATAAAAATAATACCACCACTATGCTAAGAAAAAATGCCGTAATTGGAAAAAAAATAAAAATGAGATAATACTCTATTACATACAACATAGTGGTTTTACACGATTTTCTTAAGTAAAAGTACCATAACTATAGTTATTTATCCAGATATAGGTCCTTGTAAGAAAATGATATTGCCGCAATCGTAATTAAATATTATATATATTATAAATATTATATATTATATTAATACTTAGCAAAAACGCTGTAAACACAACTTGCTAAGAAAGATTGCCTTATGACTAGAGCGCGGATTTGTATGCACTTAAAAGTATTGAAATATGCCATATAATATGCAGTAAAAATCATGAAAATATGCAAAAAATATGCAGTCAAAATAATGAAAAAATGCAAAAAATATGCAAGAATTTTTTATTTATTTAAAATGTATAATTCAACTTAAAATAATTAATTACTTAAATACTTAATACAAAAAAATTTAGGGAATTTTTTGAACTTAATTTATTTTTAAAATTGTATTTATTATTAAAATGAATAATCATATGCATTTCAAGTTTATCTTTTGTGAAGCTATGTCGTTTATCGGTTAACATATTTTTAAAGATTGAAAACGAACATTCGATGTCAACCGAAGTTATTGGGGCATATTTGAAGCAAGTGGTATGTCGATAACCGACTGACACAGCAAGAGAGATTAAGTTTACGTTGTAATCGATTATTTATTTTATAACTATATATATATATATATATATAAATTATTATTTAGTGACTATGAAATTTAGTTTTAATTTTTCTACTTGACAAAATATTATTTTATACATTTTTTTTTTTTAATTTCACTTCAATATGCAATAAATTTTGAATTTTGCCAAAATATGCAAAAATATGCAATAACCTCTAAATATGCAGAAATATGCAAAAAAACATTTCACCAATAGCTTCAAACTATGATGATTCGTGGAGATAACTGACAAAAATCCAAAAATATTGAAAGGAAAAAAATATGCAATTGCATAGAAATCCGCGCTCTACTTATGACTTATATCATATACGGCAGTTTTACTAAGCACTTTATTCATAATTAGGGAACGGATTTATATGTAATAAAAATACAGAAATATGTACATATATATGTAAGTATAATTTATAAAATATGTGCTAAAAACATCCAAATTGTGGGGAAAAAAAAATTTAAAAAAAAAGTGATTATTATTATTAAATTATCAAAAAGATTTGTTGCATTGAATTATTACAATATCTTGTAAATTATCAAATGCTAAATGTCGCCTATTAGGTATCAAATATTTTTAAAACAGCTAAATTATCGTTTCACATCAACCGATATATTAAAAAAAGCATATTTCAAGTGTATACTATCAGAAGGCAATAATTCCAAATTTTTAAAAGGTTGTCTGCCATTCATTATGTCATTGATTGTTTTAAAATCAATATTGCCTGGAATTTTTTTCTGTAACAGCATGAATTTTCTTTATTACAACATCTATTGGTTCGGTTTACGAGTTTTAATCGCTGATTTAACAATTTGCATACTATCATTTGGGGACATATTTTTTATTAATAATTTTCAATGTTTCATTTTGCATAGTATTTTGAGCTTTTCCAATAGCGATAAAAGATTCTGGATCTAATTTAGAAATAATTTCTTGTATTATTGTACGAAGAAGACGTATGAATGATGAAATGATAAAAATATGATAAAAATATTTAAAAATTAGTGAAATATGTAAAAATATGTAATTATACCAAAATATGTAAAATTATGTAAAATAAAAGTATCATAATTTTGATAGGATGATTTAAATCATATACATTTCTTATTGAATCTTAAATATCTCGTTTTAATAAAAATATGCATTTACATATAAATCCGTTCCCTACTCATAATCTATATTTACGGCATTGTTGTTTATGAAACATGTCGTAATAATGCCGTATCTAATAATTTTATTTTAAATGACTGATAAATGATAATGTTTCAGATTTCACTGTTGTACGCTGTTACTCACCACACACATATTTGGTTCACTTCTCTATAGTATTTTGTTAATATTTTAGTGATCATTACATTTTCATATGCTAGGTGAAAAAGCTGTGACTGGAATTACAGCGTTTTTTGCTTAGTAAACAATTCTAAATAATTGATAGCGTTCTTAGTATAAATATCAAAATCAGAATACCTCGATGAAATAAAATTGAATAGTTCCATTGCATTCATCAGGTATTTTACTAATAGAAATAATGTATTTTACTTTGAAAAATATTATACTTATGAAAATAGAACAACCAATAATTACAAAACATTAAAATGAATTTTACTCAAAATGTCATGTAGAAAACTTACGGCATTCTTCCTTAACAGGGCAGTATAATGAAATATATGATAAATTTATGTATATATATTAATATAACTTAATATGTCTCTAATATTTTAAAACTGAAAGTTTAAGCAATATTTACACTATTTTTATGCACACCACCCCACTTAATATAGAAATTAAAAATCAATTATATCTCCTCATAGAATTACAAAATGTATTAAAAATAATAAATAGGTTATTAACATAATATTAAAAAAAAAATGTCAAACAAGTTCAAAAAATATTTATATATTCTATGATTATATGGTTTACCTGAACCAATTAAAGAATCAAACAGAAGAATTGGTTCAATAATTATTTTTATCGAACTTTGAAACAAAGGCAGTTTCAATTACAAATAAGATAATAACACCAAAGGTCAGAATTGTATAGATTTTAAATTCTTTAAATCGTGGCTTGCCTTTAGTGTTAAGAAATTATATTAATAACTTATATGATGAAGTTTTTATTAGTACCATAGAAATAGTACCTTAATATTGGGTATTTTGATTTCACATCGTCTTCCATTAATTACGTGAGAATCTAATATGGACCGTACTTGAGATTCTTGTTCTTTGAATCGTATAAATCCAAAACCTCTTGATCTTCCATCAGATGTTTTTTTAATCTACATTTTAAAACATTTAAATAAAATAAATAATACAAATTCAAACAAAAATTATACAATAAATAAATGGAAAACATATGAGTAAGCAGAACTCTAAATTTTTTTTTAATCACAAACCAAATATAAAGAACTAACTTTATATCACATTCATACATTTCCTAATTTACAAACACTGTTTTCTTTGTTATTGTTTTTCAACTAACTTGTGCCATGCGCAGTTCACCGTATTTACTAAAGTAACTTTCTAAGTCCTCATCAGTCGTTTTCCATGGTAAACCAAGCACAAGTAAATCACGATTCTTCCAAGCAGTTGATGTTGCCTCAGACTTTGGTTCCTTGGATGCTCGCTCAACATCACTTTCAAATTCTTCGTTCAATTTCCTTTTCTGCACGTTATCTGAACACATATCATTGTCATTTAACTTTATCATTCCTCAATATTATAAAATGGAAACATATTAATTCACATTGATTCCTTAAATACATCAAACTTAAAAAAAAAATAATTATAAAGTATGAAATTCAAATAATGCTATACCATCAAACATCACTAATAATTAATATATAAGTATTTTTATAAGTCTAACAAGGTTATCATTCTGTTAAAAAAATTAAAATATGGATTTAATTAGAATTAAAAATTATAATGCAACATTTTAAACATATACTCAGTGATATATTTCACAGTAAACACTATAAGCTAGTGCTTAGGATGGCAAATCATTTTTAATATTACATTTTTATTATTTTTAACTAGAACCAAAATAAATGCAACTAATTTTAAAATATTTTATTTTATTAAATTCAATGGTTTAAATATAATTTAAAAATGAAAACGTTTAAGCATTTTTTACTACCATGTTTTTTATCATTATATTTTATATCATATTTTTATAATTAAATTTGTCATATAAATGATGTATGAACACATTTTTATAACAGCACTCAAGATACCAATGCATAATTGTAATAATATTAATATTACAACAGAAATTTTCTAATAATGAAATATGGTTACAGTCAATTTGCAAAATGAGCTGAACCTTTTTAACATTCTCATACAATGTGTCTTAAATTAAATGAATCAATTAAGAAAAATAAACAAGAATTCACCAATAAGTTTACCTTTGTTGAACGAACAAAAGTACACAATTTCACCCCAACCTTCTTCAGTAGGCGGATGTAGCTTATTGTCAGCAAGTCTTATAGCTCGCGTACGACCATTATCAGGAGCAACATACTTCAAGCCACAAGCATCTGGATATTGAGCACGGAGAGTGGACAGCAAGAGAGTGGAATCATCTTCCAACGGCAAGTCTACGATCTCTTTTTCACTATCGTTTGTTTCAGATACTTGAACGAATGACATGATGTTTGTTTACAGTAACAATTACTCACTAGAATAAACAAAAACTGTGTAAATCGATATCATATAAAATTATCATGAACTAAGTTTGCTGTTTAACATTACGTTAGTTCAAATATTAAATTAAATTTTAAATATAACAGGCTACAACAATATACTCACATCAACATAATATGAAGGAATGCCAATAGGAATATGGAAACGGATATATGGAATGATTAAGGACCGCTTAAGTATTCACAATTGTAGATGAAGTGGTGCGGGTTTTGGCAAGTTAGAAAAAGATGGTAGATGGTATAATTGTTATTCCACAGAACAAATATAATCTCATGGAAGAAATATGTATAGACGCATAAAGCGTATGTCTTGGTTGATAACATGACAAACGGCCGAACCATGGTTGATGATGTGATATCTATCGATTGCCAAACAACTGAAGTGGTTCGATTGTTTTTGATATTTCTTTTTTTGTATGCTAATTAGTAATGAAAAGCGCCCGCAGACATTTTCATCGAGAGAAGCAAGAGAAATATATATACATATTCGTAATATATTACTTGAATAATATCTATATCCTATCAAAAATACTTAACCAGTGGCGTACGCATTGGGTGTTAAGTAGGTTGGTAAAAGGTCATAAATACAATCGCAAATAGAGAACGTTAAAAATCGCCTAAAATCCTCACAATCATTTTTACATTACCTTGAAAACTACTCCGTAGCAGTGACGTGGTGAGTGACATTTGCCTATTACAATTGGTTAGCCCTAAAAACCTATCAAGGGGCTGGGTATCCACTGGTATACTTATCATGTATTTATGAATATATTTTATTTAAATAACTAAATTAATTGGCTAATTGCATGCATTGAAAAGTAATTTAATATACACATATAGTAAATAAGTTAAGTATTTGAAAGAAATTAAGGAAAATCTTATAGGTAGTACAATTTAATATTTATATACATATATATTATGTAGTAAGGGCAGGGGTGGGGGTCATTGCTTAACCCTTTTGCCGACCAACGGGACTTTTGAGTCCGCTGTGTATTTTATCCATTTAAACATAGGTAAAATAAATTAAGTACTATCTGACCATAGTGACTTATAAGTCACTCCATTTTTAATCAATAATGTTCCCGAAAATTTTCTGTGAAATCAATAGATGGCGTAAAATATATCACATAATAAAATAAATATAGTTTAGCCCATAAAATAAATATCGATATTTATATAAATAGCCACAGCGCGAACCAGTATAGATAAGCAATGGGTTTAATTATTATTCTTTTCGTTATAATCCCGAGAAACAGAACGTACCATTGAATATCGTTATTATTGTGTATAAATATGTGTTTATTGACAATAATCACAACGGACTTTGAAGTCCCTATGGTCTATTGCGACATTTTTATAGTTTTGACGAATATTCTCAGTCAAGAACTCGCGCGCCAAGTATATTGTTTATACGCATGCTATTTTTTCGCTCTTGAGTGTTGTTTGTTCATTTATTAATTATTATTTACTCGTTAATTTTTTTAAATTTATTTAATTGGTGAAATGAATAAATTTACAAAATTAAACGATCGTGAGATCGAAGATATAAATCAAAAAAATGGTGGCATAGATTGTTTTGGGGTGTTATTGATATTATATTTGTCAATTCATTTGTTATTAATAACAAGCTTAGTGAATCAAAATTAACTGTTCTTCAGTTTCGAAGAGCAGTTGCCCAAGGACTAATAACACAAGGTAAATGTGGCCTAAAAAGAACAACGGATATATCTCCAGGGACTTCAAAAGGTAGACCATGTCTACAACCAAGAAGGGGCAAACAGTTGTTTTCAACAACTTCAGATGTGAGGTTATGGAACTTAGGGGCCCACTGGTTACAATTTAGTAAAATGAGAGGTAGATGTGAAGTGTGCAGCAAAAATAATATAGAATCCAAACCATATACTAAATGTTCTACTTGTAATATTTTTTTATGTTTAAATGAAAAGAAACCATGTTTTAATGAATATCATTCAAAATAATGTGTTCATTTTTAATATTATAATTATTATTTTTTTTTTTTTTGTACATTACTATTATGTTTATATGTTTTTAATAAAAGTCTTATTATATGATAAATTATGAATTTAACATTTATAATATTAAACATAGTAACCTAATATTCTTAATATTAGTCTGCTATATAAAAAAATTGACCATTTAGTTTTTGATACTATAACTATTTTCTTTAAGTTTATATTGTTGTTAATTTGAAACATGAATTATATACATATTTAAATGGTCATTATATTTTTAATTAATTAATTAAATTTTAACTAATTATTACTTATTCATCATAGGGAATAAGAAAATAGTAGTGTCGTAACGGACCATAGGGACTTTTAAGTATAGTCCTTAAATGACCAATGGGACTTATTTGTCCCACTTCTTAAAAAAAATATTAAAAAACCTCCAATTTCAAATTTCTTAATTTCTAAATTCATCAAAAAAATAATAATTTATAAAGGTGCAAAAAAAAAAATCAAATTTCTATCACCATTTAATGTTGGTCTACAAAGGGTTAAATACTTTACTTAGGGTTTGAAATATGCTTGCCTTGCCATTGCTCGGTAGTAGGTACTCATATTCAGGCCGTTGCCATTTTCTTCCCAAAACGAGATACCGTTTTCCTCCACTGTCCATTTTCCACAAAAAAAAAAAGGGTTGGTTTTCATTTTCCTTCACATTATTTTTTACTACAATTATGTCTATTATCCTCCAATATTTTAGCTAATATTGTAGGATCACATTTTGCGTGTATCTGTTGATTAAATCCTAGTCGCGTTCTTATTGGCTCGGGAAAAACGCTAGTTCAAGTGTCCGACAGCACTCGCAGTTTATAACAGTCGATAACTTAATATTGTAACTTTGATTGCGATTAATAAAGATTCGTACATATAACATACGGGTATATACGTATATACTTATACTGTTATATTGTGTATCATAATTTATCACCAGTGGTGCACGCAGGGGGGGATTAAGGGATTGTAACCCCCCCACCGAAATTTTCTCCGATTTCTAGGTTAAAATTTACAAATTTTACAAGTTTGAAATATGAAGAGCTAATATTGAATACCTAGTATCATTGATTATAGAATAGTCTATTCTATTATCAATGCTATTATTTAAGTCAAAATATATTAAGGATTTGCATAATTTTGTTAATTGTAAAATGTGTTAAATTTTTGCCTTGACTCCCCCCCGAAAAAAAATCCTGTGTGCGCCATTGTTTATCACTGATTATTATGATTACACTCATTGAGTGCAGGGACGTATTTTAGGGGGCGTAAGGGGTGATCGCTTCTCCTGAATCCGTATTTAAGGAATCAATTATATGTAAGAAGCACATTTGATATTTTTTTTTAATATGTATCGTTTTATAACGAAATCGAATTAATTAACAATTTTGATTTTTTACAAAAATGTTTGTCATAAAATACGAACGAGTGATGAGAAAAATTACAGAAAAACATATTGAAATATAATAATTCAAGGTGAACGGTCGCCTATGATGATGTATTTATTATATTTTATTAGTATACTTATCAATGATCAGTGGTAACATCAAGGTCCATGTTGAATGTAATGAATTGGGCTTTTTGTCGAGTCTATACTCAGTAAAATATCAAATAAAACAAGCGTATCTTTCAGAACACAGACAGGTGTTAAAAAAGAACTACACAAAAGTCGTAAGTGGATTAGGCATTAGGTTAAAAAAAAAACTACAAATATTAAGGATTCGCCTGATTTAAATATTACCAAAAATGTTATTTGTACATTTTGAGCCTGAATTAAAGAAACAATTTGAGTCGCCTCCTCCACTTAGAAGTAAATCTAAATACGCCCCTGATTGAGTGAGACAGACACACAAATATAAAATATACTCGTATCAATAAGACTATATTTGAGGCGTATTGAACCAGAACAGCCTAACCCACAAAAAATCAAATTCCGTTTTATGCGATAAAACTTTTCAGATTTAAATTTCAATTATACGATTTTATTATTTTATTTTTTGGAGGAAAATGGACTTTGTAGGAAAACGGTATCTCGTTTTTGGAGGAAAATGGACCCGCCCCATATTCATATTATGTATACAAACATTTACTTTAACTATTATAAAACATTTTAATTAGGTAAACAAAAATTGTTTTATGCAAAACAAATATTTTAGAAATACAGACGTAACTTTTAACTTTCCATTTTTTTTTTTTTTTGTTATTCTTAAGAATTTATGTTAAATTTATGTTTATTATGAAATTATATTTTGACATTGCCATATCATTAATATTTATGTTAACGGACATGTATATAATTATGGCATTCAATATACTTTTTATATATTTTATTAAGTAATGCCTAGGAATTCTATATAATATATACCTACCTAACCATTTTTAAAGAAGATTATACAATTTGTTTTCCTTAAATTAATATCTTAAATATTTGATGTAATAACTAGATATTTTATAAAAATTACAAACAAAATATTCATAATGTACAGAATAGAGAATTCACTTGATAGATCTATTTTATTACTATTAGAATAAAAATGAATTAAAGACAGCTCAATTTTTTTAGTACATTAAAATTACTTATTACAAAATGAAATAAATAATTTAATACTCAAGACTATAGAATAAGCAGTCAGAAAAATTATATAAAATTATTAAACTTTTTGGTAGTATATAAGATTATTTATTATTTTTATTGAATTTAATTATTAATTTCATATGGATACTATCTATATTTTTATCGATACTTATGGTATTAACTACCATTGTATTACGATTTAAGTATTATTATTTTTTTGATGATAAAAATAAAAGTAAATAATTATTGATTCATTTCATTTTATGCACTTGATAATTAATAGATTCAAAATAATTGATATTATTTATAATTAGTGTCAACACAAATCACAACCAAATTAATAAGCAATTATAAAACTTTATTTTATGCTCTTAGACTCAATTGTTCAATAGTATTTTGCCTATTATTAAAGTAATAATTATAATTGTTACTTAAAATCTTGTGGCTAACGAGTTGAACCATTTAATTATTTTTATATATATATATACATATATCAATTACATATATGTAGTAACACAAAACTAAGCATAGCTATATATTTAGAAAAAACCTAAGTATTTCATTTTGTATTACAAAATATTTACTAAAATATAATAATATATTAACAATTATATAATATAGCCACAATGCTTATCCTAATTATTTATCTCAACAACATATTTTCGTCGCTTTCAAAATACATTTGTGAAATTGTAAATAATAAAAATATGACAATGTAATATATGAAGCAATAGTATAGCTAAATGAATATTTATTAAGTTAAATACCTGCAATAATATATTTTGCTATCTTATTTTCTATTTATTGTTTTTTTTTCATTTTATCATTAATAATTTCTTCTTGTGTAGAGTCTGAATATCTCATCTTACTGATTGAGTGACTCTCAAATAAAATAACTTTGTTAAAAAATTGATTTTCAAGTACTCATACAACTTTTTTGGTTATGTTTAATGTGTTCTACTGTAGCTTAGAATATATGGTTTTATTTTTACATCATTAAACAAAGTTGAAATGAAAATGTTCATAATGCAAGAATATAAAGCTTTTTTATAAAAAATTACAGAGACAAGTATATAATTAAGGATAGGGCCGTAGGAGCGACCCCTTTCCCTTCAGATGATAGTATACAGTAATCACAAATTAAAATATACAATATATACTACTTTATTTCTCATTATTTAAGACCCGATGATTATGGAGAAGATTAACCACTCTTTCCCAAAATAAAAACCTGTAAAAGTTTATGAGCTGTATGAGTTAGATGTTTCTTTATTCACTGAATTTTCTAACTTTTTAAGACATTAACAATTGCAATAAACATTTCTTCAAACTATTAAATACAGTCATGTTTTAAAGTTCATCTAATTTCACTCATAGCAACATGTGTCACTTTTACATTAGATGAAAGACTATTATATATAATGATATTATATAGGAATGAATATTTAAAAGTAGTAAGTTATTTTATGTTGTTAATTATTGTTTAATAATTATCTTAAAATGTAATTAATATTTATATTATAAACAGGATGTAATTAAAGATAATACAAATGAAGTAATATTTAAAACTAAAAAAGTGAAAATCTAAATGATCGTTTAAATATGTTTTGAAAATTATTGTAATTGAATGTATCAAAAATAATTGTATCACAAAATAAAGTAATTAAGAAATGTAATTTATTTAGTTCGGAGTGTATTAATAATATTATGTAATAATAATATGTAAACAATATTTTTACACATAGACTGAGACTATATCTGTGGGAATGAATTTGATTACACCGTTGTGTGGATACTTTTGAACAAATTTGAGTCCCGGTCGTGGTCGATCAAATGCAATTACAGTTGTTGGTTGTCCATATGTTTAATAAATGATTGTAAATGATTAAAATTACAGTGTAATTATTTAATTTCAATGTGTAGACGTTATGTCATCGATTAATATCCAACGAATACATGAATTCAGTAGAAAAAATCTATCTAATTCATGAAATCGGAAATTTCACGAATTTGGCATAACATATAAATAAATATTTTTACTGGTTTAAATAATAAAAAATAAAAATTATCCAAAAACAATAGCTTATAGTTTAGAATGTATACAATGTCTTAATTATAGCTATCTAAAATTTCTGAGAATAATATTTACATATTATTTATATTTCATAATAATACAAAATAGTTAACATGAATTAATTAATAAATTATTGCTTACATTCAACTAGACTATCGGCTGTAGTTAAACAATTATTTTTGATTGAGATAATTATAAATAATACTCCAAGAAGTGTGTAGTAAACGGCATATAACAAGAACTGTATAAAAATAAAAATAAATTATTAGATAAATATTTGAATTTCACATAAAAAAAAAAATAACAATAATAAACATTTATAAAGTGATAATAAATATATGAGTAATATTACTACAAAGTTTCTTTAACTAGGCTTAAATAAAATAATTTGACTCAGATTTGAAATCATGTTCAAGTTTAATATGATTTCGATCTTCAATTTCAGACAGTGAATAGCCAAAAAATTTGTATAAATAATTTTATTTTAAAATAACCATAGCCTCTAGTAGTATTAATAGTGTTATTTATGTGTGTGGTATTCTAATAACTGTCTTCTGTATCGTACAATTAATAATGAGCTTAAACAAAGATTTGTCTACAGTTGTTTAAATATTTTTAAAATCGATTATTATATAAATTTTGAAATTTTAAATAAGAATTTGAGTAGGTAATGTAATTGAAAATCTAGAGAAGAAAAACATTTTGTTAGTTAACGCATGTAAAATATCCGTTTTATTTATTTGTAAGACTTCAAAATTGTTTTTAAATAATTATTTTGATTATTTGAAAAATTACAAGAGTTTACGTTGGTTAATGTTAGCTAAACGTGAGTAAGTATAATAGTTATATTCGAAAGCTCAATGAAAAAAGCGTAAGCAATAACATCATTCGAGTTCATATTTTAACAATCGAGAAACTATTGTTGATTTTTTGAATCATGTGTTACTTAATGTTTAAAATTCTGACGTGAAAAACCTCCACTGAGTGAAATTTACAAGGATTGTTTATACCCTTATAATACCAACGTCTAACATGTTTTATGACCTATCTATACCTATATAGACCTATCTGAGATAATATAAGTTTAATAGCTCAATCAGTGATGGCTCACGTTATGGTGCACAATTACAAATACAAAATTATATAAAAAATTAGATTCCTATAGTAATTTAAAATCTGTTGTTATGTACATGGTATGTAATTAATAAAAATATTTGTTAAAAAAATAGTTTTCGTAGCTTTTTGTGTTGAGATGCGTCTATTAACGATTAAATAATTAACGAAGCACGTTTTTTGTGTTCCGAGTGGCCGTACAAAAGTTAGCTAGGTATATGCATGGACTCGTCGATTAATAAATAATACACGGTCCTTTGGAGCACAATCGATTAGTGCACCGGATTAATTATTATCGTTTCGTGTATCGTGTCGATCGTGGAAAGAAGATTTTGTGTTAATGTCTCATACATTATAAGTTATTTTTTCCAATTTATTTTTATTTTACCGTGACGAAGAGCTTAGGAAACTCGGGAAATGTATATGTTGATAAGTTTGTTACATATATTCGTCTATACATATAATAAAATTAATATTTTTTTTACCCAACTACATAGGTATCTTACAAATTATTTGTGCACCACCTTATGTGAACCTCACGAGCTGCCACTGGGCTCAACGCTGTCTCGTTAGACATTTTAAGTACTTGATGAGTTGCGTAAACAAGTACAGGATCGGGTGCCTCTAAATATATTTTAAAAACATTGATAAATCAACTGGGTTGTATTTTAAAGTGTTTATTATTACTATTTATTTACTCACTACTGAGACACTTTAAATAATACTGCGTAATTAAAGTGTACAGTATAAATGTAATTGCAAGTCCTTCCTTATACACAACTTTTGTTATCAAAATAAATGTAAAAATGTGACTTGTTTGGAAAAATGTTATAAAATTGTTTTTAGTTGTTTCTTTTGCTTCAGTAAATTCAAGAGACATTCTAAACATTTTTAAATACTGTTACGTACAACTTTCAATCTTTTTATGGAAACTTTTCATATACGAAAAAGTGTCGGTTGAGAAAAACCAAGAAAGAGATGATGTAAAAACAATAATTTCTTATGTTATTTCGCTGTCAGTATCAAAACGCATTCAAAGCTAATTGAGTGAGCGTTAATTTTTTAATGGTTACATTTAAAAGGCTGCCGGAATGTAATATTATAAAAAATTGAAAATCTATTATAATTATAGATTATTATACATACGTATTGTTAAATATTTGTTATTATCTATATGACTATAAAGTTTATTGATGTATTAATATTACCTGTTGAACTGTTGTAACCGAGATAAAATATCCTTGTACGATTCCGTACGTCATCAACACATGCAGGAATAGGGCTAAGAACGAGTTGAATCCAAATACGAGGCCGTAACTGTCTCGGCTAAGACGTTTTGCTACTTCGGATCTAAAAATTAAAATTATTAATTAAACAACAGAATGAAACTTATATTTTCCCCGGCCATATCGTGTTGTATTCAAAATATTTACTCAGCCACAGTCAACATCGTTTGATAAAGACATCCGTAGATTATGTAGAAAGCGTAAATGAACCACATCGTTCTAACGTAATAACAACCTAGTAGCACAATACCGGCAAGTATTGAGCCCAAGCCCAAAAATACGTCCCCGACTTTCAACCAATTTAGTTCAAGTTTGCCAATTAAATACGCAGCTATTGCCCCTATCACATAATACATTTATACACATAATACATGTAATGACAATAGTGTTTACATTAGTTCGATGATATAGTTACCGATCAAAGTGTTTAGCGATTCTGCGGCACCGTTGTACAGAGTAAATGTCGAGTCACCATTTAAATTCAATATATATGTGTACAACACGTTGATGTACGAGTAAACCTGGAATTTAATGTTTTGAATGAAATTTTTCAATTGATTTCACAAACACGACGTGCAAATGGAATAAAATATTTGTATACGGCACCTGTACGTATGCTCCGAAAGCGAAAGCCCACCATAAGCTAAGTTTTCTGACATATGAGTCGGAATATGATCGTTTGAAGTCTTGCCAAAGGTACGAAAAAGCAATACTAAATTTCACACTGGTTGTCCTACGAATTTCTTCGGGTTTCTGCGAATCGACCAAAACAACGTTAATCAATTGTATTTAATGTTCGTTTTTCTGTCACTATTTACTATCGAGAGGTCGTAGCGTAACATAAGCTAACGGTGTGGATTGTGTATGTTTGAAATAATTAAGGGAGTGTACGTAACATTTGTAAATCGCATTTCTTTTTTTGTTTATGTACCTACTATATAATCACCTGCACTCTTGGAGATTCAATAGGTTTTGGTGATTTCGATTCATGTGAAGTAGATGAGTAATTTCTTACGGTCGTTATGTCTTGATCGATCCCTTCAGGGTTTGGATTGTGAAAATAGACACTTTTACTTACACTTGGCATCACAAATGCCCAAACAGTACAGAAAAACATACCTTGAAAAAACGACGTCGAATGTAATTAATTTGTAATTTGTAATTAAAATATGATACTCGACAATGATTAATGTGTACGTTCACAACAAATGTTAGCAATACGCAATTACCGAAGACGCTCAAGTAAACCAATTCGGCGTATGGAACCGAACCGCTGATGAGGCTAACTGTTTGAGCGAATAAAGACGAGAAGAATTTGCCCGACAAACACGCTGCTCTGGCTTGACCTGTGATTCTTTGGTAGTAGCGTTTATCCTCAGTCATGGCGTACAAATAGCCGAAATAAGCTACTTCCGACGAGAAAAAGAAACCGTAGAACAATTGACCTATCTGCGTAAGGAAACAAACGTTTGCCGTTGTGAGACCCAACAAAACGGCGTATTAAAATTAGATGGTTCACCTGCATTCTCAGTAAGCTCGGATGTCCGAGGATACTGCAGTAGGTCAGTATACCGCACAAGCCGTCGAGAACCAACACGGGCTTATATCTTAGATAATCAGTGATCAGGAACACAATGACGATAAGAACAAAACCAGAATACGCTCCGACCGAGTAAACATCCCTAGAAGTCTGTTCGGAGAAAAACAAATCATGTGCGATTAAAACTATACGTATGTTGCAGTTAAAACCCGAGATTCGTCGTAACCAGTCTTGACTAGTCAAAACTAATTATCGTAAATCCCTTTATTTCGGTGCGTTTTAGTAACAGAATATTATTGAACGTGATCGCATAGCATTACCACGCGCGTGTCGTTTACCTGGGTCAGAGTAATGTTTATTGCTGGACTCGTCATGTAAGCCGCGTAAAATGGTTCGATGGGTCGAAATTCTCTGGCGAATGCGAACACACATACGAAGAGAGACACTGATTTCCATTTCTTCATGGTTGTATTCGTACGTTAAACTGCTTGCGTTGCAATACGTGAGCACTTCCCTCGGTTGTTGCAATTTCTAACGCACTAAACCAACGTTGTTCGTTAAAGAGCAAATCGGCGACCGCATTAATTTTAATCATGCTCGAGGTTATCTTAAAGCGATTGGTAAAAAATATGTGTTGAAATTTATTGCTGTAGGTTAGTATCAGCAAATATTAAATACTCGTACACTATTGTTAAATGTTTTTCGGATTTGAACAACAAGTAGGTAAGTGAGGTGCGTTCAATATGATATATCAATAAATCCAATAGCCAATAGGATTAGATTACATTATGCGGACAGATAAGATGCACTCAATAAATTATTGTTTTAGATTCGAAAAATCGTCGCATAAAATTTAACATTTTTTCATGAAAAACCCCTGTTAAGACCACAGACTACAAACTCGGTAGTTATTAAAGAACTTAATAACTGTAACTTCGTAGGGACTTCATTTGAATAAATATTATCTTCTAACCGAAAGTAAATAAATCCATTGGGAGCCCTAGGGCTGTTATAGCTACAACGATATTGCTATTATTATTATTTTTAATCACTCTGCGAAATTATCACGATAACTTGTGCGTATTGATATTTGTTTATAGGTACTTATTTGAAAATATTTTCATGAAATAAAAAAAAAAATTAAAATAATTATTGAAAATATGATCAAATTAACATAAATATTGGTTATGCACCAAACAAAAGAAATTTTTATAAGAATACCGAATAAATATTATAAAATAAAAGAAGCAAGTGAACATTTTAAAATAACTCGGTATTAATTGTGTTGTTTATAATTAAAAATAATAATCCTTGTGAAATTGTTTATTTATATGGGACAGTATGTTAATTAAATTGTCTATATTTTTTCTTTATAAGCTTTCCTTGAAATCTCTTATTATTCATATATATTTTTTTTAATATTCATAAAAATATTGCATTTTTAAACATGATGCTTATAAATATATAGAATACAGTAAATTTTTATTTTATGACAAATTTTTCTTTTTCTTTTTTTGTAGTTCAATACTCATTTAATATTTTCTATTAATTCATAATTCGTAACCCTGTGGATCATGATACTTTACTAGGAGATCGCCAACAATTTAACACTAAATGAATAAGTCATGTACTACGCATATTATTAAACATATGGGGGTCTAAGGGTCATGAAAAAGTTGCGTTATTTAAATTGTATTTGTACGTACTCGTATATAAGTATTGAAATACCTATAATTGCATGAAAGTCTCGACGTTCGAAATCAAATAATGATCAAAGAGGAAGATACGTATTAGATGGTACATAATATTTTAAGGACATATTATTTTTTTTACTACTATTTTTAGTCGGATAGTATAATTAATTTATAATTTTGAAGTAACGACCAACGAGTCAGCAGTCAGACTTTAAGATAATTATGTCAATAAAAAATACAAGTAGGTATATCTAAAAAAAAAAAAAAAATACTTTTATAATAATTTCAATTTATATTCGGAATACTATTTTTGATAAGTATTTGAGTATTTATTTCAAATACAAAAATAGTATTTTACCCAAATCTGTGACACCTATATAAATACATATGTCATACAAACACTTGTTTCATAACTATAATATATAATAATCAACATTATGTTTAATATTAATATTTAATTAACATTTTCAATTCCACGCTAAGTGGTATGAAAATACATTTTAGCAAGCCAAGAGCCGAGAATTTTCTGAGGAACTCGAGGAATGAAGAAACAAGGATTTTTAGATTTTTATACAACATCACATAAGAAAAAAAATTATAGGATCAATAATAATGAAGATCTTTTACATACGTTCATTTCTTCTGATCTACTCATATAAAATCTACGCAACGTACCGAAAAAAAATGTACTTAAATTCTCTAATAAAGCTCAAAATCTAATAAATATTAATGAAATACAAAAGTATAACTGTCTTTACATTTTATTTTTGTTTATTTGAAATAAAATTGAGAATATAATTATAAAAAGTCGAACTTTTTTAAAAATAAATAAAAATCTCGACATTTGTGTTAATACGGAATTAAATAAAAAAAAAAATTAAATTTATATTTGTTGCCCTTGAAAATATATACTTTTGTGTATTAATAGTAAAATCAAATAGAATGAGAGTTGATATTAATTTAGACAAGCTAAAATCACTTTTCAGATCAGTGTTTCTACGTCGTCGACCATCTTTAATGGGCCAGTAATATACCAATTAATATACTCGGTAAATTGAATATAACAACACAATGGACACTAAACAATTAATATATTAATGTGTTTTTAAAATATATACGACATTTTTACATAAAATTCGATAAGTCAACGTATTTATGTTCACGGAATCGTTGTCATGTCTTACGAAGTAGCTGCAGGTTCAATAACAATATCACATCATCACGATTCAATGTACACGTGCTTATTTCTCATGTGTATTCGACAATCCCTTCGTCGGTAAACAGTCTCAAAATGGCAGTGCTGCAGAAGAACATAGATAGGAACCCGTACAACATGGCGTATATCAAAAACTGAAAAAAAAATAATCGATCTCAATTTTGCTAGCATGGGCGCATTTAGTCTTATTACAATGTAATGTTTAAAATAGCTATATGCCTGCATAGTTCATGTAAACATTACATAATACGTATTATTAATATTATTAACGTTGAGTTATCTATGTGTTTATAACTGCACTTGATTTCAAACGTAATTTTCGGATTAGGAGCAATAAACATCAATTAATGTAAACATACGTGTGATACACTCAATACACTCGTATTGAAGAATGTCGGAATTTTATTCATCGTAAAAATGAAATGCGATAAAGTACTTTATTGAGTTTATAATAAAATTATAATTTAAAGTGATGGCGGTTTTTTTTTATTTTTGTACTTTTTTATTTTTGACACTGTTTTGAGTTAGAGATTTAATTTTCCTTTACTAGGTACTAGGTAGGTAAGTACAAGTATGTATCTCACAGTCGACCTAAAATATTTTTGTAAATTGTCTAATAAGTGATTGCGATCCACCATCTGAAGTATTGCTTAGCGTTGTTTCAGGTGGCAAGTAGTTTATTATCGACACGAGAAAAAAAAGTTAAGTATACATTAACTCTATGGACATGCATAGACAATCGTTTTTATGGTATGCAAAAGGTTACCATTGCTTCCTCTTCGGTTACTGAAAGTTATTTTAAGTGTTCGAAATTCCGATAGAAATATACACACAAATGTCTAAATAATTGTTTAATTTAAAAATTAAATTTTTTTTCTTAAAAAAAGTGACTGAATAAGAATATGTTTATAGTTATAACTGTCTTCATAGTTAAAATTTAAAATAAATTACGAAAAAAAAAATTAAATACATAACATTTAAAATAGTTTAAATAGTATAAATATAAATAAATATAAATATACTTCAATTACAAAATAAAATAAATTTGTTAAATAAATATAATTGATCATAACACGATTCTGCGTTCATTTGAGTTTTTAATTATCAATTGTCTTCAGGATTTAAATTTATTGCCATTTCTTACTCTGAAGTTAAAAAAATTAAGCTATTTAAGATTATGTAAAAAATGTTTATACAAATTACCTGTTGCGCTATAGTGATTGTAATAAAATGACCTTGAATAACTCCATATATGATTATGGTGTTAATGCATACGGCCAAAAAAGTATTAAATCCGAAAATCAGACCGTAGCATTTTTCACTTAATCGTTTGGCCACCTCAGATCTGTAAATTTAAATTTAAAACATTAAAAATGTTTAACTGTTTTATTAACGTGACGCGTGAACCGATGATATCGCTAATGATTGATATGGTATATAAATCGGTGTACCCGCTACATATCTTAAAAGGCGGTTATTAAATGGTAGTTCATTACGGTCTAGGCTTTACTTAAGACAAAGTGTAAAACAGTGAGAATAAGTTATCAGATTTATTTGCAAATTTAAAGACCCCTAACTTGTATTAAATTATCTTTTGCAGTGTAAGTCTTTGAAATAAGCAAATGTTACACAGGTGTAACTACCATGTATTAAGAGCAAAAAAATGTATTTATCAAGGTCAGATATTTTAATATTAGTAATTCACCCCTTGCATCGGATATCTGAATTCCGATAAAAGATACATCTTCAAAATAATTAACCGATGCATGTGTATGACTAAATACCAATTTGTGATATGTACCTACGCCGCGACGGAAAACACAAGATTCGATCTTATTTTAGAAGATGAGGGATATCCTACCTTGAAAGTTAAAAATTAAATGTATATATATTATAAAATCATTATTTTTTCCTTTCGAAACGTAGTAATCATTGAATACGCGTATAAAATGGTTGTGTCATAGTACTATTTTATTCCAATTCCTGTCCAATATCATACCTTTCAACTAAATATCGTTAATTTACGATAGATATACTTTATTTTTACTCATCGGTATCAACTTAATTTATAGCAAATTAGAAATAAAAATCATGTATTATGTAATATTTAAGTCAATGATTGAAAAATGGAAATTAAGTGCCGTTTTGAACTACCACTTCTTTAATTCTATACGTCAATATACGTTAGCATTTAATAATTATTATTAATATTATAGCCCAATACGACTTTCCTGATACTCTTATAATAAAACTCACTCGGCAATAGTCAACATAGTCTGGTACATCATTCCGTAAATTATGTAGAACGCATAGATGAACCATAAGTTTTTGCAGTAAACGCAACACAGCAGCACGCCACTAGCAACAACGGATCCAACTGTGAAAAATACGTCTCCGACAGAATACCAATTCCAGTTTACTTTGCTTATTGTAAATGCGGCGATGGCCCCTGGAAGAAATTTTCTGTTTTTATGAATAGAAATAAAAGTATAATTAACATGTTAAATAGTATTTGATGTATGTCGTATTGAATCTGGAAGCGCTTTAAAACCGAATCGTTAAATTTTTTCGGATACCAAAAACATTTATATGTATATTTACACTTTTTAATTATTTAAAATTTTTTCTTTCCACATCGGAATTTAGGTATATGATATGTTGAATGTGCCAAGTGATAGAATAAGACATAAAAGCTAGAATTAACGCATGATTTAAAGATTTATAACGATACTGTACGTAGTAGGATCAAAAAGTTCCCGGAATTTATTTATAAAAAAAAAACTATATTTCTTATCAAATATCTGATTATTGGAATTAAAATTAAACATTATTAGCTATCTATAAGTTTAGTCGTTAAAAGTACATTAGTCTCATGTGAGCCGTAGTTGAGTCCATACGAAATTGTGTTTACGCATTTTTTCAAAATATCACAATTTGAACAACGCGCTAACATTAAATTTTGTTTTAAACTTCGAAAAACTGTCGCATAAACGCTCGAATACTTGAAAACAGTTTATGACGATGAAGCATTAAAGAAAACAGCCATTTATGATTGGTTTAAACGGTTCAAAAATGGTCAAGAGTCACTTGAAGACGAAGAGCGGAGTGACCAGCCGTCAACTTCAAAAAACGATGAAACAATCGAAAAAGTTAAAAATTTGGTGCGATCAGATCGTCGTTTACGCATTCAAGGTATGGCAAATGTATTAGGAATATCGTATGGTTCAGTTCAAAACATTTTAAAAGATGATTTAGGAAGGCGTGTTGTTCAAATTGTGACATTTTGAAAAAATGCATAAACACAGTTTCGTATGGACTTAATTACGGCTCACATGAGACTAATGTACGTTTAACGACTAAACCTATATATAGCTAATAATGTCTATTTTTAATTCCAATAATCAGATATTTGATAAGAAATATAGTTTTTTTTCTATAAATAAATTCCGGGAACTTTTTGATTCTACTACGTAAATCCCGTCAAGTAACTATACTTGTATTTAAAATAAAGCGATTTTTTTAAAACAGTAGTTGTATTTTAATCATTTTCCCCGGGCTATGCTATCTTACTAAAATATATGACTAATCGCATGATCATTATTTTCGTACGTGTGTACTGGCCAACAAGTATTTAATTTGAACAAATACTTTAAAGCTTTAGTAAATACAAGTTCCGTTTTATGTAATATTCGGCCTGTCCCTGAAAACCTTGACGTCCGAGAACTGTTACGGCTCTCCACACCACCCTGGTTATTTATGGTTATGCCATAGACACGTTGAACTTTAAAAAATATTATACCGTCATAGTACCATATGGAAGACGATTTACCTAAAAGTGTATTCAGAGATTCCGCGGCGCCGTTATACAGGGTGAATTCGGCGTCATCGGTCTCTTCCAGCACGTACGTGTACAACACATTTATATAAGCGTACACCTAGAAAATATATCAAGTATTATCATGTAGTAGTATAGTATTATCATTTCTCGAACGACATCGAACTGAAAAAATAATACAAAAATTATAAGAATAAATATATTGCAATACTAACTTGTAAATAACCACCCATTGCTATCGCCCACCAAAAGCAGAGCTTACGGACGTATGGGTCGGAATATGATTGCTTGAAGTCTTTGTACAACGTCTGTAATACACTGTACTCTTCTTCCGTATTGGTGTTAAGTGGCGATACATTCGTTTTCTACAACAACCGCGGGTGAATATAAATCGATTAGTATCATATTTTTACAACGAAATTGTCACAGCTCAAAGTCAATATTTAAAAAAAAATTATTTTAGTATACAAAACAATAACTAAGTGGAAAACCGAAAAAATTGTTATAATCTATAATCGCGTTGCTCCACAGGTACAATACTTGTACGACTTAGATCATTTTGTTAATAATAATAATGACAGCCCATTTGAGTCAAATTTACCTGCGTAAACATTTTACAATAACAACTAGGTAAATTTATATACAATACTCATATTCAGTACAGATTATGCGAACCTCCTTTGTACGAACTCTTAATTATCCGGATGTTATTTCGTTTTGAGATAATTATAATAAAGTAATACATTTTTTTCTCAAATTATAATTAAGTAATAATAGTAATAATAATAAAAAATAAGATTTTATTTAAATGATAGTCGATTGTACGATTTTTTTTAAATTATAATCAATAGTTCATATTCTTTTTAAACAATAACAAATAATTAGTAGGTATACATTTTCAATTAACCAAGTCGTTAATGTAAAATATTTACGCCGGTAAATTTGGCGCAAACGGGTTGTCGGAAATAACATACCTATTTTTATTTTGGCGCAAATGGGCTATACCAGGGGTGGCCAACATGGCTATGTACATGAGTCACATGTATTAATAAGATTATATTAAGAGTCAAATTATCTAATCGGTACTTCTATACTAAAAAAGTAATTAAGAAAGCTAACAGTTGATAAACATATATACATATAAATAATTAAGTCAATGTATCGTTAAAATTTGACTAATGATCATCTCACAGAATTACTAAGAACTACTCTTACATCAATTCAACCAGATTTTAAGAAGCTTACTACAAAAGTGGACATGAAAAAAATACCACACAAACAAATTTAACTTGATGTTTAATTTTTTAATTTATTATTCATATAAATAATTTTTTTTTTTTATTTATTAATCTGTACACTATAGCCTCGTATCTATGCAATAAAATTTTTTTTTATAAATGTATATAAAAAAATTTAAATATTTTGGTTTTTGTAAATAAGACCACGAGCCGCATACGACTATGACGAGGGCCGCATGCGGCTCGCAAGCCGCAATTTGGCCACCTCTGGGCTATACTCAAAATAAAATAATTTTTTTTTTACGAAAATTAATGATGCCCATAGAATATAAGTTCATGTTTGGGATTATGAATCGTATAAATCATTAATGTAAACATAGCTGATTAGTGCAGACGACATTACAATTACAAATTTCTCTATAGGCCAGTGGCGTAGACATGATATTTGAAAGGGGAGGATCAAAAAAAGAAAACGACATAACTAAATGGGATGGAAAAATTGAAAAAATCTCCCATCCTCTCAAATTTTTTTTATTATTTTATAATTTTTTAAAAAATTGTAGATAGTAAAATATTTAACAATAGGAACAATCTGACGTCTGATGGCACTGTTATTTTTGTAATTTTTGTAAATGTGGGTACAATTATGAACTATGTTTCTCCACGAATCAATGATAGGTTCAATAAATTATCAATTATCCCGTGAATTTCTTTTTTTTTTTTAGGTTTCAGATAAATAAATAGAATGTACTATGTATACGCGGTGAACTAAATCCGTAACGATAATGATCTCATTCTCTTTTCTCATAACAACGATAGTATCCGATAATATTTTAAAGCCCAGGTTACATACATAATGTTATATACATAGTATTGTCTCTATAAATTATAAGATAAGCTATAAAAAAGTATAATTATAGTCGTCATTGGCATTTCGACCAAAATACCAAATAAACATTACTTTGGTGTAAATAAACGAAAATAAAATTATAATGGTTTTCAGTGTTGACTAAAGTGTCAAAATTCAATAGCTCAATAGATTCACATCACAAAATATTTTTTATAGTGCATACTATATAATATAAGGAAAAACAAAAAATAATTAAATAATAAAAAGCTAATGGGGGGGATTGGACCCCCACGTCCCCCCCTTGTATACGCCACTGCTATAGGCGATTAATTCTACGATTATATGTTTATAATGCATGTGTTATTAATTGGTAAACATGATGATGATTTAGTTTATTTGCAAATTAGCTTTATTTGGTAAATACCTGATTGGTGTTAAGCGAATCGACGCTTAGTTGATGTGGGTATTTGTATTTTTCTGGGTTATATATGGTGTCGGTAGATTGAGTCATTATAGAATCGTCCACTTTTTTCCTCTTGTGGAAATAAAGACTCTGCTTGACTTTTGGTAAGAAAATTGCCCACACAGCCGTTGATGACATACCTTAAAATGTACATAACACAGTCTCAAAAATATTGTGGAATATAATTCAACCGATACTGATTAATTTTAATAAAATTCTTATATTTATTAAACTTTCAAGCTCTATGTTTAAAAATGTAATTCAACAACTTCCCTTAGAATTATATATACTTTAACTGCATTTTTATTCAATATAAAAATAATGACCTTATAAATTCACAATAAATTTACATAAAATCAAATGACCCTCTGAATTTGAAAAATTAATGATTTCCTTTTTTATTATTTAATTTTTTTTTTAATCAATATTACAATTTATATTTATATTGATTGTTATAGTTGTAGTTATTATTAACTAAATAGTGTAAAAATATTACACATACAATTAGTAATCATAGACATACTCGTAAATGATACTATATTTATCACACTTAAAAAATACATTAAAGGATAATTAAACAATTATTATGCATACATTTCAAAATATATATATATATATATATATATATACGATCAGTAAATATCTAATGCGGCTGATTAAAGAATTAATAGTATACTCTAAACCAATTACTTAATCTACAAATATTATAATCTCCAATAGTAAAAAAAATAGATAATAAGTGTAACATATTTTTTAATAATAGTTCTCATTGAATTTTAATTAATAGATAAAAATCTATCAAAATTCTGTTTGTGAAAATTCTTATTATAAAATAGCATAATAATAATATATAATAATAATAGTCGAATTTAACTATACAAATATTAGAACAATTTTTAATCAAACTATGTAAAAGATGATATTTTGAAATATTTGATTAGGTAATTTGAATTTTTGTTTATTCTTATTGTATTATTCAAGGACGAAAAATATTCGAACAATAATTAAATTAATTTTACTAATGTAGTCAAATTTTATTTACGTATTATTTTTATTAATAATTAGTGTAAAACTATTATAATAAAGTATACCAAAATAGTATTTGATATACATCAGAAGTAAATTTAAATCGTTCAAACACATTTTGTACATTGACAGTACAATATTATACTAATACTTAAAGCCTTTATAATCTATATTTTCTTTTAATTTTTTAAATACTAGAATTCGTTGTGATAAAATCGATTTATTTCTTACGCGTTTAGGTTCACTATGATAACATCATAGGTTCAACTAGAGTTATAAATCTGGGGAAGGCTACAACCCTCCTACCAACACTTAAAATAACCTGTAGATTACCTCTACTCTTATATACCATGTTAATATATTTTAGATTCTGAGCCAAGTTGGATTTACTGCACTGGTCCTTTTTTGTATGTGAAACTATTGTGAGTTAAGTATGCTGTGTGCGGTATGCCATGTATAACATGGAATATTTACGAGGGGGCTAAAACGTGGTCCGGTTGGGCTTAAACGCTTTTATTTATATAAAATATTTAATTTCACACACAAAAACATCTTTATTTTTATATTAGATTTAATGATTTAATATTTATTGAATGTTTTATGCTAATTATAATATATAATATATAATAATTATACCTGTTGACGTATTTTATTATTTAAACCCACAACATTATTATAGAAGATTTTTTAACTCAAAAAACAGGAATTTTTGATGATAATAAATTGTTTTTAGAATTTTTAATAATCTAGATACTTCAAGCTCTCAATTACATCATTTATTTATTTTTAATTTGAATTATGCAAAAGGTCCCCCATTATATACAGCTATAACATATAATTAAAGCCTTGAACAAATTTAATAAATAACAATTAAGATACATTTATTTATAGATAATTATTTTTCAAGCTATTTTACTATCTTTATTATTTTATTACATTAGGTGCATTCAATTAGCTACTTGTATCCTTGCCTATTTATTTTTTTTTGCGTTATGAAACAATAATATTATAATAAAATGTTTGTCTTTAAACAGCGAACATGATTAATTTACATAAATAATGTTACTGAAGAACATGCTATCAAGAATCTATCAAGTCTCATTTAATTTGACCAAAACATTTTTACATGGTTTTTAGATAATTATTCTTTCAAAATAAACTTTACTTCAATACCTTATTCAATTTTTTAACTAATTTATATATATCGTTATTATTTTCTATTTTATTTCAACTTCTAATATAGTCTAGTTATTAAAATATTATATCGTAATTATACGATGGTTACTTTATTAATTAATAATTTAAGTACTAATACTATAAATACTACTAATACTACTAATAACTACTAATACTATTAATACTATAGTGCGAATAACCAAAAGTACCTACTAATACTAATGATTATCCGTACAATATATGATAAATAATTATTTGCATACAATAAAATTCGTAAAAAATTTTTTAAATTTTTAAATTAAAGCACCCTTGAATGATAAAATATTATTTTCGATTTCTTACAGTGTAGATATTAGTCGTATATGGTGTAAAAGTTAATAAAAATACACTGTTTTTTTAAGGTATGTAAATATAATATACACTATAGAATTCAGGCGTAACGGTATATTAGGCCAACTCGATTAATATCGTATTTTGTGGTCTCAACAAAATTAAATAGATTACTTTACACATAAAAAAAATATAATAAACCAAAAGTTTCTACCTATCCTTTAACTGTCGTTATTGTTATATTTAACTGTACTTGGTAAAACTATTGGAGTACTATAATTTGGTTGTGTGGTTTAAAAATTCACGCAACTACACCAATTATTGTGTTTCCAGTTGTAGAATATTTTATTATTAGAGTATTATTATTATTAATAATAATAATATTAATAAGAAGAACTCAGCGTTAAGTACCGAAGATGGACAAGTAAACAAGTAAGTTGAATGGTGGAGATCCGAACGCCATGGCAAGAAGTTGAGACACACACGATGAGAAAAATTTTCCAGACAATGTTGCAGCTCTAGCATGCCCAGTAATTTTTTGGTAGTATTGTTTATCTTCTACCATTGCGTATAAGTATCCAAATAAAGCCACTTCTGCGGAGAAAAAGAATCCATAGAACGCCTGTCCAAACTATAAAAATTTAAAAAAATGTGTTAATAAAGTTATTACGACTCTACAATTTATTATATTTATAATAATTAAACCGGGGTCATATGATACAATTTAATTTTAAACTATTTTACATTCTAAGTGAAGGAGAAATGTATTGGTTTTGCCGTGATATGTGTAGTTTTTTAATTTTTTTGTGTCTGTGTACTTGATTTCAACCAGAAAAAATATTCCAATCATTGTGATCTTAAAAGATTTTTAATATAAAACTGTTGTCTAGCTAATACTTGAAAAGAAGCCATTTTAAGAATTTCAAAACTACCATTTAACAAAAAGTCTTGAACATTTAATGCAAGTATCCTTATTTACGTATAATACTGATCAAAGAAGAAAAATTGAGCTTAATTAAAAAAAAAAAACAACAATACTACAATTAATTTAATATTACATTTTGATAATACGATAAAAATCACGAAAAAAAAAAATTACACAATTTTTATAATTAAAGCTTGAAAATTTAATTCAAAATTTTTCATAAGATTTTATTTGTTGCAAAAAAAAAAAAATACTAGAAACTAGAAAGTTAGAAAAATGTTGTATTAGTATTACATCAAATGTAGACGTTAAAACATTTCATATTTTGGAACTATTTGAATAAAGCTTGGTCTGTCTAATCTGTCTATAAAACTTTGAAATTTTAGACTACCCCAATTTTAAGAGCATTTTTTTTTTTCACAAAATTTTGAAAATAAAAAGTTCAACCATCTTAATAAGAAATTAGATACTATTACTAAATCAACAATATTTAGAAATATAAACTGATCCATCCGACCTCTTTCATACAGAATTGTTTTTCGATAGCAATATGGTACATTTGTTTCAAAGACCATTTCTGTAATATTATACTCCGATCTCTCTTAACCAACGTAAGAATTTCGTCCATTTTTTTAATATTTTTGGACGGTCGTTGATTAGAGACTTACTTACTCATCATTTTTTAAATATATATTTCGATGAAGTTTTTTAATTGTAGCAAAAATGTTTTGGAGATTTTTTGAGTATCAGACATAGGATTTTATGTAAATGCCTAAGTGTGAATAAACGAGTCAACTATTTATCTAGTTTAATCCTTGAACTCATTCAATTTTAAAACAGATTAAGATATGTTTTTTTTTGATTCTTTCGATAAGAACCAAACAGAAATATCCGTCAAACGTTATCAGGAAGAATAAAGGAATTATAAATTGGTTATTGTATAAAATTGAATTGTACCTAATTACTAACATTGAAATATGACACTGTGATCTTATTTTCAAAGGTGTTAAGTTATTTGTATTTATATAATAAAATATTTTATCAATAATACCTTAATTCACTATATTAATATTAGTGTAATAAACTAATAAAATTCGTGTAAATAAGTGCAAATATGTCCATTGTTAACATACTTAGTGTCCTAGAACAATACCTACACCTAAACTGCAGTAAGTACTTATAGTGCTTGCTTAAGTTATAAATTATAATCCTTTCGGTATGTTTAGGCGTTCTATTGACTCTTAATAATTGTAAATATTTTTTTGTTGTTGCTAAATATCTGTTGTGAAAAACCATTTAAATTAATTCATTTTCCTTACCTGTATTCTGAGTTTTGAAGGACGATTTGTTATGGCAACGTAATGAAGTATTCCGCCAATCCCGTCTACAATTAACACTGGTTTGTATCTAACATAATCCGTGACCAAAAATATAATTATGATCAACACAAACATAGAATATGATCCCACAGCATAGAGTTCTTTTGGGACCTAGTAACACACAAATAAATATTCATTATTTTAGAAGGCATAGTACTATACATACATATACTACTAATATTATATATCAACATATTATATTTATAGCTAATACGTCGTCAATGAGTAAAATTTTAGAAAAAACCTAAAAATGTAAACTAACATACAAATATCTATATTCGATTATTGTAAAATTAACGAATGTAACATATTTGTATAGTATCTGAAAAATAGTAACCGGACAGCTTATAATGAACTCAAAAAATCATAAAAATTCTAAGCACAGACACTGCACAGAGACAACTCAACATCATGGCCATAGGCGCAATTTCAATAAAAAAACTGAGGATACTTAAGCTCTGTATTTATTGGGTATTTAATTTATATTAAAACCATAAGGATTTAATGAGCCGATTTTTAAATAAATACAAGTAAAGATTCCGATGGGGTTCCTGTTTTAAAATTAATTTAAATTAGGGTTTTGGTGAACTCGACAAAATTTGAATCGACGAGTAACATTATTTTCATTTATATTTCATTACAGTTTTATACTCTAATAGTTAAATGTCTGATGACAAAAATAAGTTTTTGATTCATCAACACGAACATTATTTGAGGGTGCTGATTGTAAAATAGGGGGTCCTAATACCCACTAAGGGTAGGAAAAAATACAACGAAGTGATTTGTTTTGCAGTTTAATTTTTATTACTACTATCTACTATTATTAATCACTAGACAGAAAATTCAAAAATTGGTAAATTAAAATTCTTTATAAAAAAAAAAAAAAACTTAAATCTACTTCATAGAATTAAAAAATATTGTACAAATGTATGGAAGATGTATGTTATAAACAATTATATTACTTAATGTCTTTGTGGGAAATCTTGAGATATATTATTTTATAAATTGATGAGTAATATAATAGGTACATACATTATGTTTTATTTTTTTAACTATTTATCCTTAGTATGGCAGTAATAAACAAAATAAATGACCCTCATAATAATAAGTTGTTCATATATTATGAATACTTTAAACTAGTTACATAAAAAGATATTATTATTATTATTATTATGTTCCAATTAAACTATTAATTATTTATATTTTTATTAATTTTTGAGGTCAATTAAAAATCCCAACTGACTTAAATTGTATTTTAGCTCAGTCAAAATAGTTGTTGTTTTTTAAATATTGATTTTTATCTGATTTTCACCATGTAATTAAAAACATTTAATTTTAACCTTTATGTTAAATGTGGTATATTTATTTTACGTTACCTACCGAAAAAATGTAATCAAATTAACCTTAAATTTCTAGATCCTGATAATATTCAGAAATCATAAACATTGATTTATTTTATAATATTGTGGAAAATAATTAATAATTGGGATAAAAAAAACTTAATTCGTAAATAGCAAAAATGACTATTACAAAAACAAATTATGAATAATTCTAACAAAATATATTATTAGCTCTATAATGAATTTTTATATGAATATTGTAATGTAATACATTCATCACGAACAACATGTTAATGAAATATAAAATATTTACCTCCCACAACTATGATAATTACATTAATGTTTCCATTAAGTAATTTATAAGCCAATATTTTTTAGAATAATAAAATACTAAAAAATTTAATTAAAATTAAAAATTATTAAATGGTTAATACTTGTAAATTAATATGTAAATAAATAAACAAAAATAAATAGAAATATAAACTATTTATTTATTTATTTATATAATAATATTTTTTACATTCTAATAACAATTTCTACATGGTTAAGTCACATACTTCAACTCTGGTACAAGTGTAAGATAATTATGATTTATTCGTCCATCAATAGTTAGTTATATTTTATCATTATCATAATAAATCATGGAATATAAATATTACGTTATGTTTTTGTAATATTATGAATTGTTTAAATAAAAACTTTAGTCTGAATGGGACTAAGTAAATTGCTTACCGATTTACCGAAAAAGGACTAAAAAGCTATGCGAATCGTGGCCCGAGTATTTTAAATCATTCTTGAATTCTGTCCCAGAATAGTAGTATGTATATTCTGTCACCATTTTTTAAAATTACAGGGAGATTTGAAAATTTGAAATTCTTGAGGCAGCAAAAATGGATCGAAATCCCGATTTTACTGTGTAAATTAGAAAATTCATAAATGCCTCATTTTCAGAGCACGGTAATATCGAAATTTTGACCCATTTTTGCTGCCTCAAGAATTTCAAATTTCTCTGCAATTTTAAAAAATTACGACAGAACATACAAACAGTGGCGTAATTGTGGGGGGAGGGCAAGTATCCCCTCTGACCATTTTTTGAGGGACAAAGGTATAATTTTGCCCTCTCAGATAATCCAACAGTACAAATAGCATCTTTTGTTAATGAATTCTTATGGATATTATTTAACAATATTGGTACCTAGTACATACTACCTACAATTTATGTTTATCTAAACCAGAAAATGAGTTAAAAGACTTATGTAAAATCAAACAATTAGATAAAGTGTATAAAATATATAAGTACAATCAAAATATGTTTTAACTGGTGAGGGGGAAGGGTGTCAGGGTTTTGGTAATAATTAATATATTATATTGCCCCCTAGGTTATTTCCCAGTTACGCCACTGCATACAAATATAGACTACTCAGAATTTCTAGATAAAGAATAATCTACAATGTTCATAACAATTTTGAAACCGTTTTTATAACTCATTGGTCATCATTCGATTAATTTAAAGTCTCTGTTCATCTTTGTATGTTACTAATTTTTAATATATTGAATACATTAAATTTAATCAACGTTTTAACACTTCAAATGGAAACAGAATCTGGAGTAGAAAAAATATAATACACTTGTCAATATTATGTACATAATGTGTTGATTTTTATATTATATTGATAGCACGGTGAAATATAAGGCATTGAACCCATATAGCATAAAAGAAATACCTATAATGTTATATAATGTTTGATATAATCTGCACTTGAACGTTGGAATGATAATTTATTAGATTATGAAAAATCTTGATTTTTTTCCACGTCAATGTTTTTTGTAATATTACATTTTTAGCAATATTCTGGAAACTACGATTAATAATGTATAAATATTACCTACAGTAAGTTTTAAAATCACTCTATAGCTTACCTAACTATATAGTTAACTAGGAGGTGTATTTACTTTATACCAATATGAATGAGTAATAAATATGTTTTGTACAATGATTTCTGTTATATTATGTCTACATTAGGTATAGTTCATATTAATTCAATTAGATGTACAAACATTATAGACTATCAAAATCAATATAACTTTTGAGTTTAATAGCTTGTGTTACGTGATATCAATTGTCTAAATTCTAAACTTATGAAATTACTTTCTTGGTATACGAAAACTTCAAAAATTATTTACCAAATATAATTAAGCTGACGAAAATTAGGTTAATCTAACCTAAGGTTTATCTTCAGTGAATTTCTCTCTCTTTCGGGGAGCAAAACTTTTCTGTATACAATATTTCTCGTATTAGTGCCTCCTTGAATCATTCTATAATATGTATAGTTTATTAGTTCGTAATTTTATTTCAAATATTGAAAACTAACAAATAACGGTCATTTCTGTTCAAAGTTCTGAAATATTTACTTGAACAAATTATTTTATATTTTCAATTAGACAACGCTTGTTACGATTTATGGATACTATATTTATTTGTATACAAAAACCGACCATTTTTTTTTTTTGTACTAAATTAACAAGAATTTTTTCCTTCTAGCTCTTTGATAATAATAAATCATATTAATTTTTGCCAGTCAATTTATTTTTGTTGCAATAAATAATAATACGGGCAATTTTTTTTACTCGCACTCGGAAAATGTTTAAATACATATAAATAGTTGTTAATTCATATATATCTCGTAGTCAATAAAGAAAGAGAATATCATTTAATTGGTTTTGTCTGTTAGTTTATTGAATTTATACATTTAAACGTAGCCAAAACAAATATTTGTAGATAGTGCCGTAACTTTACCACTCGAGGCCCATGTGCAAATCAAAACCTTGAGGCCACTAATCATTAAACTTTTTTGAGTATATGACCTTTTGAGGCCCCTTAATAAATAGTTCGAGGTCCGGGGCCCGTGTGCGTTGCACCCTCTGCATACCTGATTTTTACGGCACTGTTTGTAGACCAAGATTTTTATATTCGATAGATATTAATATTACTTGTATTCTTCTACACATAACTCAAACCAAAAAATATCGTAGGTTAGTTAAAAATCTCGTTGAGACACAGACCCGCAACCGTCCTAGGGTACCATATCTACATATTGCAACAGTCAATTAAACAAATTATAACTGTGCTGCCCACTTATTAACGTGCTCGTTCAAGTAAAATAGATGTCAATGTTCTCCGCAAGTTTTTCAGTGTTAAATAGGTGTTTATATATTTTTTTACATTTATTTTGAGCACGTATTGAATATTCATACTCGTGCATTACGTTTAATACAATAAATCATTTAACCGTTAATCATTTTTTCATCAGCATATTTCATTGATATTTAAATCATTACAAATTCAAATATTTCATTAGAATTACAAGGTACAGAATTTTTTTACTATAGTTTTCAGATCTACTTATTTTAAAAAAGAAATTCGACAAAATCACTCGACATGTTCATATATCTCTACACACAATGTAACGTTTCAAAAAATTACATTTTATTTTTTCGTATAATATTATTAGATTTTATATTACATATACAATATAAGTTCTTTTATTGTCTTACAGAAAACAATTATAATTTTTTTAAAGGTAAAAAAAAATGAACTAAAAAAATCGATTCTAAATAAACTGTTGATTTAGTACGTTGGTTTAGCTTGTCAACAATCTAAAAATATTTGTATTATATATTAAACATAAATAAGAATTTTATCAGATATAACATTGACTATTTTTCACGAGATCATCTGATAGACAAATTAAAAAAAAAATTAGTTTTTAAAACCGACATAATTATCTGAACAAATGTAATTAGTTCACTAGTTAAAAAGTTACTTACGGTGATGTAATATGAATCGTATTAATTTTAATATTATTATAATTATATCGAAATTACAAGTAGCTTAAAAGCAAAAGGTTTAAGCTATTGATTTATAAAACAGTAAAATATTCAATATTATTTTTGACGTTTTGATTTTCGCGAAAATGATGCCTTGATAATTTTTGTTCAGTATTTAATACTCGTTATCAACTCGCTTAACTAATTTAATCTGACTCTTTAATAATAATTTACTTGTCTAATAATATAACATGTGTAATTACTTGCTCTACTGTACAATTAATTAAAGGACTTGTCATATACGCTGCGTAAAATGGTTCGATGGGTCTAAATTCTCGGATGAATGCAAACACACCAACGAAAAAGGATATTTTCTTCCAGTTCTCCATTTTTCTTTGGTTTGAAAAATTATCTATAAGAATAAAATAAAAATTATTTAAAATTAATAATTTACATTTAACATACATAATTATTATTCATATCATTAAGATAAAATATAATAAACCTTCATTATTTAAATATATATATTTTTTTTTTATTGTTCTTGACATTTTTGAAATTTCTGCTTCGACTAATATGACATTAGAATTACATTTGTAAAAAAAAAAAATAGATCAAATAATACAATTTAAATTCATTATTTAGTTCATTATGTACATTCTAATTATTGAATATTTTAGGTTTAGTTTTTAAAAACACAAGTTACTGTAATACAGTTAGTACAGTTTATAAAAATACAATGATAATACTTCGACTTTTGATTATTCGTATGAATTAAGTTTTAATACTAATAATAATTTTAAATTGTTACATATTCTTTATTAGATACATATATTACGTAAATAATTTTTCATATAAAACATTTAATTAATAAGTAAATATAAATATTATATTGTAAGTATATTATATTTAAAAAATGTAGTTCAGATTTAAAATTTTGTCATAAAATATAAAGTATAAAACATCTGTTTAAATTTTAAAAACTATTAATATTGTGCAATCAATTATGTGCTACATATAGGGATACATAAAGGTACAATAACTCAATTTTAAAAGTAATATCCCCCAATGTTGGCTTAATTGTTTATATTTTTAAAAAAAACATTCTTATTCAAATGGTGATTTACATTTATGGTAACGTTTAAAACATTTAAAACGTAAAATTACCTGTTTCATTTGCATTTATTTATTTTCATTTATACCCATATACCCATGTTATATTGTATTATGTAACAGCTGTATATTTTAATATTTTAATTTTATTGAAAATTTAAGATAAAATTAAAATATTGAAAATTTAAGATTATAAAAACCAATTGTGTTCAAATTCAGAATAATGTATACTTACTCAATATTTTTTTTCAAAAATAAATTAAATATATTTTAACTTTTATATTAATTTATTATTAATCTTTTAAATGAATTATGATTTACGTACTTTAAAAGACACACCATTGCACGAGCGCTTGACGAACGTTTTTAACTTGACGAAATTAATGTTTTATATAAATAACACACGTGTTTAAAATTAAGGTGTTATCAACAGACTTGATCGAACGAAAAAAACCGTTTGTCGATATTTGACGCATTGTCGATTTCGCAATACGTAGTGTTATTTCAACGTTTGTCAAGAGCATACGATTATAATCAGTGGTGTATTTGAGGGAGAGGGGCGATGGGGGAAATTACCCCCCTCCCCCCCCGAGAATTTTTAGACCAAGACAATTTTTATATAAGTAATAGATATTTTATTAAGAAACAAAAATTATGATTTATTTTATAGTATTACTACATTTGAAAAGTTTAAAACTTTACACTAATTTAAATAACGCAAAACTCTAAATTTTTCATAACGTTTTAACTGTCAATAACTGTAAACAGAAATTTCTTTAAACGTTTAAATTTGAAGGGCTACGGGGAAAAACGATAATAGTCAATATTCCTAAAATGTTCAGTATTGCAATTTTAAAGTTTCAGAACTCAAAACCCAAGAAATAAAGAACGAAATATTTCAAAAATATTTATTGTGGTTATAAAACTAATTTTACGTCATATAACGAATAAAAAAAATAATAATTTTACTTTTTAAATTTTAGAAAAAAAAAAATAAAAATAAAAATACTGACATATATCTTTTCTTCCTGTTATGCATCTTCATTTTCGTCGATTGGTATATTATCTGCACACTCTACATCTACGTCATCTCTATCTGTTTCATCTGACTTGAGTGCAGCATAGAATTGTTGTGCATCCGAGTTGGTTAAAAATTGCTTTAGGTGTAGTAGGTTATTAAGTTTTGCTTTTTTCATTGGTAGGGGACTATCATATAAAGGAACAAGAGTAGTATTCTTATTTATTTTATTTTTTCGATTCCTTTTATTAGTGGCGCGAGTGATGACAGCTGATAAGTAAGGCCCATGATATGTGGACTTATGGTTTATAAATCGAGGTTTACTTTCCTCAATAAGTAGCACTCGAATGAGTCTCGTTGGAATCGGGTTTTTCGTTGGGTATAAATCTGACTTTGATCATTTTTTCACGTTTCCGCTCGGACTCTGTTCTTTTTTTGCCTTCATGGTAATATTTAAACCTGTATTATATTATTGACCGTGATCTTTTTTCCCTAACTCGATTCACGTCACAATTCGTTCAAAAACCAACAAACAAGATATTATATTATCTGATTATTATTATTTTTTGACTATTATCGTTCTTCCCCGTAACCCTTCATTTGTATAACGTTTAAACGCTTAAAATGAATAACGTTTAAATTATTTTTTAGCGTTAAACGCTCAATTGCTTATAACGTTTATATGTCCCATAACGATAAATAATGTATATTATTTTGATTGAAGACCCATTCCATACTTAGTGAAAAATTAGATAAAACACAAGCGAAACTTTCAGAACACAGATGGTGTTAAAAAAGAACAACACAAAAGACCATTCTAAGTGGATCCGGCATTAAATTAAAAAAAAAAAAAACCACAAATATTAAAGATTCGCCTGAATTAAAGAAAAAATTTGAGTCGCCCCTCCCCCTAGAAATAAGTCTAAATACGCCCCTGACTATAATACATGATGCGGTCATGTGAAAAATTAGTGCTAATCTCGGCCGAGTGCCCGCGAATGATATTTCAAACGTTCATCACCGTTCATCTTGTGCCCGCACGAATGCACTGTATTATATTTTTTCTTGTGATAACCATTAAAAGTACAGTCGTGCGCAATAATAACGATAATAATAATATACGTTTTATAATACTCACTCGTGTAGTACGGGGAACGAAGTTCGGGAAAATTCGAACCGCGGACCGGTCGTCTGTCGCTCTCAGAACAGCTGTTGGTGGTAGTGCTCCGCGTACCGCCGAACAACGTACGTTTTGCACAATAACTGCCGAGCTGCTGTTCTTATACGCGAGCCGCCGGTGCCCGGCTGCACTCTTGACATGTTAATCCGCGCACGGCAGAGATAATCGAAAGCGTCGCTACGGTTTTTTTTTCGTTTTATCTCCTCGACTAAACTGTTATTGTACCGCGGTTCATTCGGCAAAACGCCGCGCAAATGGATATCACACCGGCCGGCACGAAGAACGACTGTGTTGCGCAACCGCGGAGCCTGTCTTGATGCCGTGTGCGTGCGATCTGTTAACAGCAACGAGTAACGAAGAATATATACATATGTGTTGCAACGTAAATGGTCGGGCTGCCCCGCGATGTGGGAGAAGCAACGACGACGGATTGGTCGGTTGGCAAACCGGTCGAGAGAAAAACGTGAATATAATTACGATGTACTACGTTTCTGGACGGGAGATGACGCGGCGCGCGACTAAACAGAATTCGGCTGGTGGTCAGCGCAACACACGTGTAAATCGGCGTATGTTCGAGTTATTATTGCGCGTATTTTATAACCTATTATGTACGTAGGCGGGTGTACGCTACCATCGTGCTGTACCCAAATGGCGATAACGGAAGCGATCTTGGACTTTGACCGAGGTCTGCCGTCGGAACACATGTGCGCCACTGTTGAAAAAAATTACATAGAAAAAAAACTAATAAGTGAATATAAAAAAAAATAATAATAATATGTAACTTATCGGTTATAACTATCAGATAAACGTACATGTAACATTAGTTATATTAGTAACAACAGTTAAAAATCGCAAAATGGTTACATCACTGTATCCACAGCGCTTCCGAACCAGTGCCGCAAAAATCAGGTGTGCAAGTGTGCCGTGCGCACGGGCCCCAAGGCTTACATACATTTAGGGAGGCCCCTAGTCCCAGCCTAAAATAGACTACACTTTACAAACACACAATTATTTAATAATATTATATTATTATCTTATAATAAAAAGAAACTTTTTTTCAGGTAAGGATGTTTTAATATTTTAGAGTAATATAATATTTATTTAACAATGAGTCCATTGAGTATTTGAGTAGGCATACAACATACCTACCTAAACTACTTAAATAAATGTATTACATAAATATCTTTGATATATATATATACATATATCCAGTACCGGATCTACAAATTATGTAACCCGGGGCACAACATAATATTAGCGCCCCTAAAAGTTACCAATAAAAAATGCATGTGTCCTAAAGTGTATCAGAATAAGGATTATTATAGGCAATTTAAATTTTAAATATTCACTCAATAAATAAAGAAATTATAAATATATATATATATATATATATATATTTAATATTTATATATTATGGAAATGTTTATTTTCAATAAAAAACAAATAATTTAGAATTTAAACCTATATCATAACTTAATGAAGCCTTAGAATCTATAGTAGAGTTAAAAAATAATAATTTTCTTGTTTCTATTTAATAATAATTTTTCTTGATTTTTTTGATGCGAATTCGTTAATGATATCTTCATAATTTATGGATTTAGCAACTTCGTGCTCAATGGATATCATTGACAGGTTATTTAATCTTGTTTGTTTTGTAGTTGATCTTAAATATGATTTAATTAGTTTCAGTTTACTAAAACTGCGTTCACAAGATGCTGATGTTACGGGTAATGTCAAAAATATTTGATAGGCTGTAAATATGTTGGGATAAACATCTTGAAGACCATTTTTAAGAATAAAATTTAAAATTTCATGTGAACGAGCATTTATTAATTTATTATCCAATTGAATTACATGTTGAGTAAATCTATCCAACTCTAAAATTAATTCATTTTTGTCAATGTCTTTTTCATATTTTACACAAAAGTCCATAGCATGTTTTTTTAATTGAATTGTTGGCATACTAAATAAAAACTTTCCATCTAAAAAAGAAAAATCTTTTGCAGCTTCATCAATGGAATCAAATCTTTCTTTTAAACCGTTCAAGATTCTATCACAGACGTTTTTCATTAAAATTTTAAATTTATTTTCTTCGGATAATTTTGATGATTCGTCCTCCGCTAATTCACCAGGCATTTTTTTCTTTTTTCTAGCTAGAATCGATGGAAATACCGGTTCTATTGATAGTTCAGATGATTTTTGTTTTGATTCATCAAGTGCTTCTTCAATACCTTCTTCCCTAAATTTCTCAATAAAATGTATCAGACCTTTTAAGTGTTGAGATATATCTATTGTAATGTTCTGTTTTTGTAAAATCACATTTATTCTATCAATTGCAGTTAATATTTTATTCCATATTATTAACATACATATAAAATTAAAATTTTTTATCCCTTTCAACAAACAATTTAATTCAACACTTGCTTCTTCACATAAATTACTATTTTTAAGTAACTTACAGGCATGAATAACTTGGGCTAACTGCAAATATAATGATTTAACTGCGCGTTGCTTTGCAGACCATCTGGTCGTACTGTAACCTTTCAATGAACATTTAAGATGTTCTTTAAGAATATCCCATCTCTGAGTAGAACTAGAGAAAAAATTGAACAATTTTTGAACAATACCAAAGAATTTTTCTAATTCCGGTGAACATTTAGCGGCATATAAGCCTACTAAGTTTAGACTGTGGGCCGTACAAGGAATAAACCTAGCCAAAGAGTTTTTAGAACTGATCCTAGCTTGAACACCTTTCCATTTCCCAGCCATAATACCTCCATTGTCATATGACTGACCGCGACAGTAGGATAAATCAATACTATGATTAGACAAGCTTCTCAAAATATCTTCTGTTATTGCCTCACCAGTTTTTTTAAAAACCTAGAAAACTTTCCACAATTTCACATCCATTTTCATTTACAACAACATAACGAATAACTTGAGACATTTGCTCTTCATGTGAGATATCTGGCGTGCAGTCGAATAATAATGAATAATATGTAGCGCTTTTAATTTTTGATAAAATTGTATTTCTAACTTTATTTGCAATAATTTCTAAAAATTAATTTTGAATTTCGTGTGAAAAATATGTAATACTTCCTTTTTTATGACGTTCAAGATGAATTCTTAGAGGCTCGTTATAATGAGATATTAAATTTACCAAATTTAAAAATTTTCCACTTTGATTAGATTTACCTATATTAGAAACAATTTCGTCAGTTCCACGAAAAGCACTGTTCTCCATTGCTAGATGCATAATTATGTCAATTATTGTTTTCAATACTAATCTCCAATGATTTTCTTCTAATTTTATTGCATTTTGTAACTCTATATCAATTCCTTTACCTTCACAAATTGACATTTCAAGCATTTTCCATGAACAAAAATACTTTTTATGAATATTAGAATTTTCATGTTCTGGTATTCTTTCTGATACTTTCTTCCAATTAATAAACCCATCTAATGCTAATTTTGATATATTTTTGTCGTTTGAATTTAAAAACAATTTGCATGGTACACAAAATAATGCATTTTTTGATTTGGAATAGCTAAGCCAAGTTCGTCGACATTGATTTCCATTTACAAAATTTTTGAAAAACCAAGAAACATTAACAGAACGCCCTTCTCTTTCAGATTTAGTACGAGTAAGATTCAATTTTTCAATATAGTTCATTCTCATTCTAACAATATGGGTTCTTTGAGAATCTATTATTTTTTCAGGCCATGTACCACAATCTTTGAAATCCAAAGTTTCATTTCCACTTAATTTCAATGACATAAATTCGGACACATTTAGATTTTGATCTTTTTCATGATCAGAATTTATTTCCTCGACAATTACTCCAGAACTACATTTCTCAGTATTCTCATCCTCTTCAACATCTGTCCCATTCTCTTCATTTTCTATAAAATATTAGATATTTATAATAAATCCAGGTATAGGCCCTTGTAAAAAAATTATAATGCCGCAATTGTAATTAAATATTATCAATACTCGGCAAAAACGCCGTAAACATACTTGCTAAGAAATATTTCCGTATGTCTCTTAGTGTATATAATATTAATATCATATACAGTGGTTTTACTTAGCACTTTACTCATAATCTATATTTACGGCATTGTTGTTTAGGAAACATGTCGTAATAATGCCGTGTCTAATAAATTAATTTTAAATTACTGATAAATGATAATGTTTGGGATTTCACTGTTGTATACTGTTACTCACCACACACATATTTGGTTCACTTCTCTATATTATTTTAATATTTTAGTGATCAGTACATTTTCGTATGCTAGGTAAAAAAACTGTAACTGGAATTACGGCGTTTTTGCTTAGTAAACAATTCTAAATAATTTATAGCGTTCTTAGTATAAATATCAAAATCAGAATATCTCGATGAAATAAAATTGAACAGTTCCATTGCATTTGTTAGGTATTTTTTTAATAGAAATTATGTATTTTAGTTTGAAAAATATTATATTTATGAAAATAGAACAACCAATAATTACAAAACATTAAAATCAATTTTACTCAAAATGTCATGTAGAAAACTTACGGCATTCTTCCTTAACAGGGCAGTATTTTACTGTATTATTTCAATATATTATAAAAATTAATTCACAAAGTTTTCCGAAAACTATTATTTTAAAAGTTATACCTGTTTCATACTCGTGGTTAGGTATTAAATTCTAAAATAATACTTATATTGAGAGTAATAAATTATTATAATAATAAATCACGTCATTAATTATTATAATACTATATGGTTCTAATAATTATAATATAGAATAATAATTATAAATAGTTTCTAACCTGCGCTACATTGTGTATTATTATTACCCAGCCAATTATGAAAATACGCCGAAGTTCGCTCATTTTCTTTTTTTTTTTCGAGAGCTTTTTTCCGGAACTCGCAACCTGATAATTTTTTTTTTTTTAGACTGTTCCATAACAAAAAAATTATACAATAACTTGTAAGGTACACTTAAATAAATATTTAGTTAAATATGAACATTCCCTTTTCACATAATCATACACATTCATTAAATATCGTCCACTGAATAGTGAAGTGAACGCTAAACACTGTTATAATAAATAAGTACAACTGTTAAATAGCAGAAAATACACACACATGAATACGCAATACTTTGTTGTCGGCTTATCATTGTCCAATTAGTTCGTCTACGACTAACCGATACAAGTATACAACATTGGTTTATAATAATTGCAGAGTGGCCCGGTTGTGTTTTTGGCTATTTTTAGCAAAATGATAAAATCAATAATATAATATGATATGAAATGACAAATATCTTATCTTAATCTTTACCAGTGTGACTATTATGAATTAAAACTATTTAATTTGAAATACTCATGTAATTCAATACAAAAGATTCAATTTGTTTTAAAAAAAAATTAAAATGTAATAAAAATGATAAGTTAAAAATTTGAAATTTGCGCCCCTCTAAAATTAGGGCCCGGGGCATGGGCCCCGGATCGCCCCCCCCCTAGATCCGGTACTGCATATATCATACACTAACTGATGTGAAACGTGTTTTAAAACCTAAAAAAATTGATACTTATAAATAAGACGTACAACAAAAATAAATCCTAGGAAGGGCCTAATATAATTACCGCACACGGGCCTCCTATTTTGTAGTTGCAGCACTGTTCCGAACACTTCGCTGATTAACTTATTTGCCTACTTGACTGAAAAATTTACGTTTTTAATTTGGAAAGAACCACGAGTGAACTTCATAACTACCATTATAATAAGTTATATTCAATTTTAACCGACATTTCAGCTGTTTGTGTCACCACTAACTATATAACTCGTTTACTGTTATGTACTTGGTTCACGCGTTGCCCAGGGGGCCGTGTATTTTTTTGTACACGCCATAAACTACCAAATTTCCTTGCGTATACATTATCTCGTACACTGACGTTTTGGATTCACTATCTCCATGTACAAAATCCTGACATGGTACTGTTGATTTTAGATAGGATAGGAATCTTGTAGTCCAAAAATACTTTGGTCTCAAGACCATTTCTGTAATTTTAATGAACACATTGCATGACTTGTTCCCAGTGGCGCCCACAGATTTTTGGGGAGACTACACCAGATGTGGTTTGATACGGCGAAGAGACCTGCCCAAAAAAAACAACACTTTCAGCATCGATATGGCAATGGATAGAGATCAGTGGAGAAGGATTGTGGAAGCGGCAAAGAACCTTAATGGCCCGTATTAATAAGTCAGAAGAAGAAGTTATAACAAGTCTCTCCACTATAAAATTCAATTGACGCATTGGATTACCAAAGAAAGAATTACACGAAAGTGCGGAAATCAAAGAATTTAGAATAGTTAACAATTTTGTGTGTAATTTAAAATTGTTAAGTTCGATGGTTAATTTTAGTACCGTTTCGATTTTTAAAACGTGAAATGCGTCGCGAGATGTGTACCCGGGCACAGAGGTTAGGACTGATCAGAAGCCCTACGCGTCTTACTTGCAAGCAGATAAGTCACTAAAGTGAATATAAATGATTAACTTACGATGGTTAAAATAAAAAATGTTTTTCATAAAAGTATATTTAAAATACTGTACACAAATATTTATTAATTTATTAACTTTTGACAACCAACTATATGTATATAGGCAACAAATAAGTTATATATAACTGAAAAAAATAAATTATACATCGATGTCCACGAACAGCGTCCACTAATACTACATCGTAGTTACGAAATATTTACATCATTACATCAGTCAGCTTGAAATCCATAACCGCGTATTCGTCTCTATTTCTTCTTCCGGTGTGAACTCATACCACATTTAATAATATTTCAGAGACAAAAAAAACTTGTATTCTAATTTATAAATTTATTTCTTGTTTTTTTTTTTTTTTTTTATACAAAAAATAAAAATTTTATGTATATAAATAATTTTTTCTTTATTTTTGGGAAGCAAACCCTCCAATTATATCATCGGTATTAATTATCTTTAAAACATTACTCTTTGTACACAAAACCATAAAACTATATACTATTTTATATTTGTATTTTATACGAGCTAAAAAAAGAGTAAACAAATGAAAATAACCTAATATCCATCAGGGGCCTACTATTGTTTGATATCCGTTATAAGCCCAGGGCAATGGCCTCCTCTGCCCCCCCTTAATCCGGGCTTGCTTTGTAGAAAAAAATTAATCTAAATGTGTACAATATTTTCGTATATTGTAGTGTAATAACAATGAATTATTAAAACAGTACTTTTTACTTGTTACCCTACGATTATAAAATACGTTTAATTCACAATATAGAAAAATTATAATTTATTCCAATTTAAATATACATTTTTTCGTCATATAAAATAAAAATAAAAACGAGTCGATACATTGTGACCCTTTTCAACTTAGGCCCGATGCTTTCACGAGTCGTCATGATGTTAAGCATAATTAAAGATATATCCTTATAATATATATAATATATGTATAATAATATATCTTTAATCGTGGCGTTAACTGAGAGGTGTTTTCGTTTACACGTTTACCCGTTATCGCTGTTCGGTTTGTATTCATTTTTAGAACAGGACGTTTACGATTACGATAAAATAATTAAAAACATAACAAACAATACACACATACTAGTGGAAAATAATTTAGGAGCAAATGGCTGTGAAAAAATAAATGGTTAGGGAAAAACCAAAAAAATCAATATTTAACGAAAATACGTTACCGGTCTATTTAAATCGTTAGTACCTATTTGATTTACTCGTTGAGCACGCACGACGAAATAAACGACTGTAAATAACGCTCGGCTGATACGAATTTCTAAACTGAACGTTACATTTTTTAACTACACCATTATTTTTCACCATTGGTAGATTTTTCGATTCGGATTTCCGTAATAGTTATATTTTTGTGAGTACAATTATTTTAGGAGAAAATCTACTTTAGCTACCCCACGACTTTCGGTTTTTTTTATTTTTAAGCAGATATTTCACCGTCTTAAAAAATATGGTGCAAAAAGAAACAAGCGGAAAACAATAGTTTTTCAGTAATTACATTTTCAAATTTATGTAAATTCTCTAGTTTCTCTATACATATTCTTCTTGTCGTATCCGATTATAAAAATGCCAATAACAATTATACTATATTCGTACTTTGGAGTAAAATAAAATGTAGATAAACACTAAGATAATAAAATAAACAAATAAAAAAATTAAAAAACAACAAAATAAAATAAAATAAATCAATTTGGTACGTCTAGTAAAATCACATTTTTTGGTAACGTTCTATATGTTGTGTTGCTATACATATGATTATGATGTATATGGTTACAGTACATTTCGAGACCGAGGTATTTAGAGTGAAATGTTATTGATAATGGATACTTATATTTTGTGATATCTGATAAGGAACATATGATGCCTTAGTCGGCCATTTTGCAGCCATTCAGATTTGTTGTCCCTCGATCATAGAACAGCAGTTCCCAATTTTTTTTAAATTTGCATACCACTTACACATTTTGAAAAATATTCACGTACCACTCGAATTAATATCCTTTTTTTTTTTACTCATCAATAAATAAAATGGTATTATTTTACATATATGAAGTCTTTTTTTTATAATTAATTCTATTAATTTAAACCACATAAATAAATAAGTATTTTATGCGTAAAAAATAACATAGAGTAAAATATTTGCAGTTATTATTAATTTAAAACAAAATGAATGAATATTAAGTGTTAAATGAGACAGTTTATTTTGTATTGAATGAATTAGGACGTCAATACCGCGATCCATATTGGTAACTTAGGTCTTAAGTTGTCTTTTACGCTCATTTTGTTTTTATGTCATAAATATTTATTAAATCGGCTAATATAAAATAAACCAAATAATATCGAATGGTAATAGTAATAAAAATAAAACTATTTTTTTTAAAAATAATTTCTCCGCGTACCACAGGTTGGGAACCGCTGCAATAGAATGAGATTTGAACCCCTTGTGTTGTGTTACACGAAAATGATAACACACGACAGATAGTGCACAATTTGTTCACGGCGTGAACAATGGCGTCTCTTAGTAAGGCTGAAATTGAGAAATGCATTTGTATACAAATACAATGCAATCCATCGAAATGGAGTGGACTACTGATCGGATCGTTGAAGAAGGTCACCGAACAAGTGCATCCATCGTTGACAGCAAGTGATGAAGCATTGGAATATGTTGAAATGTTAGTGATACAGTGTCTGGAGATACTCACTCTGCGGCCATCACAACCACACACCGTGCTCGATATCGAAGACCAGGTGAAACGATCGTTTCCCAAGCCGATTGAGAAATGGGCTATCAAGGATGCAAAAGATGCACTGGAAAAGAACAAAAAAAAAATTCCACTGGTGTTACCTACTGATAAAATTCATAATTTAGTTCAAAAAGAAATATTGCAGTATAAGCTGGATTATCAGGTAGCTCTGTATATAACGGCAGTTTTAGAATATATTGCAGCAGATATATTAAAATTAGCGGGTAATTATGTGAAGAATATACACCGTGTTGAAATCGGTTTCGAAGATCTCCGTGTTGCGATATGTGGTGATAAAGTATTAATGGATTTATTTGGCCAGCATGATGATAATAACGATTTGAATTTGTCTGATTTAGGTATTGATAAGATTCAAAGAACTACTACTTATGAAGAAGTTATAAGAGATTTAATGCATGATGAGAGGCAGCTTATCAGAGATTTACATTTAATTTTAAAAATTTTCAAAGAAGAAATTGATCGAATCATTCCAACAGGTAGTAGTCAAGAATTGGATAGCATGTTTAACAACATAACAGATATTTGTAAGGCCACTGGATTGTTTTTAAGTTCAATTGAAGATATATTAGAAATTGCTGAAGACAAATCTGCTACAGTTGGTTGTTGTATTGAAGAATTAGCTGAAGCTGCTGAATTTGATGTGTTTGCACGCTATGCAAATGATATTGTTAAAAAACAATGCAGGAATATATTTTTTAATTTAATTGGTAAACCAGAAGTTTCAATTTTACTACAATCTGCTGGTTATGGTTTTAAAGAAGCTGTAAAATATTATTTTCCAAAATTGTTACTCTTACCCTTATGGCATTGTATACTTTATTTTGAGTATATTAAAATATTACATCAACTTTCTCCATCTCAACTTGATAAAGAATGTTTAGAACAAGTAGAAGGTATTCTGAGGCCTCTCCAGTTACAAATGACATCTGTTGCCAATAAAGTTAACTTACCAGATAATGTCAAAGAATTTGGACTCAAAATTAATGCTACTCCTAGACGATTGTTAGCCATTGAAAAACTTAATGAAGTTCAAAAATCAGTTGACGGTTGGGATGGTAAGGATATGGGACAATGTTGCACAGAGTTTATAAGAGAAGGAACACTTATAAAAGTTTCAAGTGGAGGTAAACGTTGTTCAGAACGTAAAGCCATTCTATTTGATGGTGTTCTTCTGTTATGCAAATCAAACAATAAAAGGACATCTGTGTCGGTTAGCTCTCAACTGGTTGGTGGTTTATCTGAATTTAAACTAAAAGAAAAGTTGTTTATAAGAAAAGTGGAAATAGTGGACAGAGAAGATACAGAAGAGACAAAACACTTTTTTGAAATAGCTCCTCGGTTACAACCCCCAATAATATTAGTTGCTAATACTTTTCAAGAGAAAGCTAATTGGATGGCCGATCTAGTGATGTTGAACACTAAAAGTATGTTGGACAGAACTTTAAACAGTATACTGCATGATGAAGATAAAAAATTTCCATTAAGATTACCTTCAGTAAAAGAATATAGATTTATTGAACCTGATTCTCGTTCAAATATTATTTTTGAAGAAAAAGAAAATAATGGTGTACCTCTTATTAAAGGTGCTGTTTTATTAAAACTTATTGAGCGTTTGACTTATCATATTTATGCAGACCCAAAATTTGTTAAAACATTTTTAACTACTTATCGTAGTTTTTGTTCACCTCATGATTTGTTGGAACTATTAATTGAAAGGTACAATATTCCTGAGCCTTTTGTCAATACTATGGATTCAGAAAGTCTTAGAGATGAAAACAAAAGATTTAGAAAAGAATATTTAGTACCTGTTCAGTTTAGAGTATTAAATGTAATAAGACATTGGATTGACTATCATTATTATGATTATCAGCGTGATCCAAGTCTACTAGATAAACTGCATACATTCTTAGACTCCATAAATGGAAAATCAATGAAAAAATGGGCAGATTCTGTTATTAAAATACTCCAAAGAAAAACTACTGAAGCTCAAAAAGAGATAACATTTGCATTTGATTCGCCACCTCCACCAATTGAAGTTCATATGGATTTTAATGAAAATGAAGAATTTAATATACTCCTTGTGCACCCTATAGAGTTTGCCAGACAACTAACTCTTATTGAATCAGAAAATTATAGAGCTGTTAAACCTTCAGAGTTAGTTGGATCAGTATGGACTAAAAAGGATAAAGAAATAAACTCACCACATTTACTGAGGTTAATCAAACATACTACAAATTTTAGCCGTTGGATTGAAAAAGTTGTTGTTGAATGTGAAAATTTTGAAGAAAGAGTAGCCATTGTATCGAGATTTATTGAAGTAATGATGGCATTAGATGAACTCAATAATTTCAATGGGGTATTAGGTGTTCATTCAGCTATGAGTTCAGCTGCAGTTTTTCGCCTGAAATTTACATTCCAAGCTATTAATGCCAGGCTTGAAAGGGCACTAGAAGATGCTCGAGAATTGAGTAATCATCATTTTAGAAAATATCAAGAAAAATTGAGAAGTATAAACCCGCCATGTGTACCATTTATGGGCATGTATTTAACAAATATATTGCATATTGAAGAAGGCAATCCTGATTGTTTAATTAACAGCCCGAATTTAATAAACTTTAATAAACGGCGGAAAGTGGCTGAAATCATTGGAGAAATTCAGCAATACCAAAATCAACCTTACTGTTTAAATATAGAGCCTAAAATAAAAAAATTTTTAGAGAATTTAAATCCGTTCAACGATAAAATTGACACTGATATAAGTACCTATTTGTTTGAAAAATCGTTGGTGATTGAACCAAGAAATTGTAAACAACTTCTAAAATATCCACGAAAATGGCCAGAGTTAAATCTCAAGTCACCAGGAATTAAGCCTAAAATACGTGTACCTTCAGTTTCTTCTAAAGACATGGATGTTCAAGGTAGAAGAAAATTAAGTTCATCTGGTTCATTAGTTATTCAAATGGATAAAAGGGAAGCAGAAGACTCTGTCTTTTCACCAGTCACATTCAAAACTGCTAATGATGTTCCTCCTGTACCTCCACGACTGAGTAAAATAGATAAGGCATTCAGACCACCTATACCACCAAGAACAGTGGCGCCTCCTCTACCTCCTAGAAAATTACCAGTTGAAGTTATAGTTCCTCCCAATAAAGTTGTTGAAATACTCAAACCAGAAATAAGCCATGATTTTAACATGATAAAAAAACCAACACCGTCAATTATTCCTAGTAAAAAGGTTACTAGGTATCCATTAGTAAAACCCAACAATTTTCCAAAACATGACGCTGCACCAGAACATTTTAATGAACTATCCTCGTTAAAGCAAGAAGATTCACAAAACCAAAGGTTTCCATTCAAACCATTTATTCTAAAGAGAACAGCTCCGTCAATGTTCCAGTTCAATATTTTTAGATAAGTAATATCAGAACCAAATATAATTTATTAACTAGTTACCATGGTCATAGTTTTTCAAATGCATATGCAGACATTTTGTCTTAGTTAACTTCATTAGTGTTTCCTTTATAAATATTTATTTTGATTAGTTCTAGATGAATGATAGATGTTTAAATAACTAAATCTTACTCTATACTTATTTTAATTTTAAATAGCTGTTATTTACATTCTTTATAAAATGTATTGTTTTATAATTGTTTACATGTGATAAAAAGTTATCCAATAAAATGTTATTTGTAAATTGGTTATTCCTAAAACACCAAAATTTGGTCCAATAGTTTTATACTGAGTAGTTTTAGAATAAAATTAAATTAAAAATAAATAATATATTATCTGTGATAACCTGTTTTTAGAGCTTTTGTATATTGTATTTATATAAATCAGATAGATAAGTAAACATTAACATAAATATTATATTATCTATTAATGGTTTTTAGAATTATTATTTTATTGGTAGAAATATTGAGAAAATAAACTACTTATATTTCTACATTTTATATTATTATTAGATATACAACCATATTTTTATTGTTTACTGTTTTAGAATAGTATTTTAAGAGTATGATAGTCTGGGAGACAGACATATTATTTTAGTCAAACCTAAACCTATTCATAATATAAAATATATATTTTTAAAAAAGTAATTTAATTCTGTATTTGTATGTATACACCCTAATCAATAGTTTATGTACTGATTTTTGTAGATAATATATATATATAATGCATACTTTGTGGTGCTTTAAAAAAAAAAAAAAATTGTTAAACAATTTCAAGAGTTTAATTAGTTATACATTTATATTATCCCAACTATTGTGTTCGCATTATTCTGATTTGTATTGTATTAATAAGAGTATTCTTAGCAAGAAGAATTATCTATAATTTAATATCATTATTATTAAGCTAATTTTTTTAAAAGGCACATAAGAATAGATTTTTATGTTCAAATATTATTTTATAGTTTTAATATTTTTGTGTCGTTTGATATACACCATATCTTTGATAAAGCATAATTCATAATCAATGACCATATTATGTTCAACAATTTCAGATAGAATATTGTATTTGTTCTAATAACAAAAAATATACCATATTATATTTATATACTCATATATATTATGTATTGTTATTTTTATTATTTATATTTGTTATCTAATTATTTAACTTTAAATAAAAATAATTAATACTATAATAGTAGATTATTTGTTTTATTAAAATTAAAATAATATGTTGATACTAATAAACCACAAAAAAGAGCAGTGGCGTAGGAAGATTTGCTAGCGCCTCTGGCAATCTTAGAAAAAAACGCTTTTTAACCAATTAAAATTTAATGTTATGATATTTTTTTTTAATTTTACTAATTTTACTAATTTTTTTAAGTATACAATTTATATTGTTATTATTAAAGTGTTAATTTTAAACTTTGAAAATTTGCTTTTCTCGCTTTATGACTGGCAAATTCATCAATAATTTCTTCATATGAAATTTTTTATTTAAATGCTCTCGTGCTATTTTCATAATTGCATCATTAAATTCACATGTAGTGTGTACAAATAGACAATATCTACGTATTTCAAAAAGTATAATGGAAAAATTTTGATTTTAATGTAGGATAAAAATACGACTTTTGCACAATTTTGCGCTCCTGACGTAGGCACAGTTCACCATACCCTTGCTATGCCACTGGGAGAGAGAGATGTTATTAATTTTTTATGTAAAATCTGTTGTACATAAACTAAGTTAAACCTGATGCGGATATTTCGACCCTAATACACTATTATCTAAACAATAATATCAGAACCAGCTTAAGGGAGGAACGAGTTGTGCCCAAGCACCAAGTCTCGCGCTATACCTTATAGCAATTACATAGATAAAAAATAAATCTTAATTTTACTCTTGAGCAACAATACTTTAAAATTTAAAATGTGTTAAATGTGGGTATGCTAAATAATTTGGTTATAATATTTATTGTTGGGATACAAAACGAGATATGTGATTCTTCAATAAATATCTTAAGAAAATTATGGATTTAAAGTCCATAAAAGCTATTAAGAGTATATAATTTTTGTTTGTTCAACAAGCATATGTGAACAAAAATCACCTTTTGTAACGGCAACTGATCACGTTCTTCAGGATATCGTGTCTATATCTTTAGAAAATGAAAATTCAATAAAAACTTTATTATTTATAATTTCTTTTAATAATCAATCAAAAAATATTTAAAATTTAAATAAATCTACTTTTGAATCTCTTGTAATTTATTTAGCAGATTAACCCGAAAATTGGCCAATCCAACTAGGTCATACTGATCACCGTATCGATATAATAAAAAGCGGGTATTGTAAAGTAGTCTGGTAGATGTAACAAATCTTTGAAAACTTATTTATTTTAATAATTTTATTCAAACAGATAATAATGGGCTATAGTTTTAACTAAATTAGGTGCCGAATTTAAATGAAAAAAGTAATTAATTAATCTTTAAAAGAAAAGAAAAAAAATAATTTAATTGTTTATTCTAAAATAAGTTAATAAATTGTGTTTAAAAAATATAAATTACATCTGTCCTAAGTTACAATATGTGTAGTTCAACATGATTTTTTTGTATAAAACAATAGTTATCGCAAGTTTGCAAAAATCGAGAGTAACTTGAGACAAGCATATTTTTTTTTTTAAAAAATGGGACGGGGAAGGAAATAAAAAAACAACATATGGGTTTTATAGCCAAAACTATAATTTTTGGTCCTTACCAATATTATCATATTTTGAAAACTTATCGATCAGCATTCATCTGAAGTGTAAAAGTGCCCCAAGTAATCCCACTTTACGATAGTAATTTCATGAGATTTGTACAAGCGGGAGTATAACCCTTTCATATAAAAAATATACTTCGCACCAGGACCCGTAAATCTTTGAGCCGACACTAGACACTATACCATAATGTACTTCGTTCGACGGGATTAATACAAATTACTCCGTCATTATAATCCGCACAACAACACATAAATAATTAAGACATTGTGTAATCCCTTTGGTGAACAAAAATATATATTGAAAAGTACAACATTACATTATTGGCGCCTTGCGTGAGAACAGCGCAAGACACAAGACACGGTACTGGGTGCATCGACGGCGATCACATAATCCCTGTTCGCGGACAGACCGATGACGCACGGGCGAGTAGTAGTTCAGTGGGCGGCATGGACGCCACCGGGGGCGACGGTGTACACCTTGAGAATGGAATTGGTGATGGCGTACCGGCCGGCTGGGTCGTATTGTTGGACGGTGCGTTCCAACACCAATGACTGCACGAACCGGACCGGCGGATCGTCCCGGCGGCTTATGTCGCCGGTGACCAGCGCCACGCATCCGGTCGACGTGAGCTGCACGTTCACCGAGCGCACGAGGAACTCACATTCCGTGAACCGCTGGTACACGATGTTATCGTGGATCTGACGGTGGCCCACGGCGGGCCTCAGGTCGAACGCCTCCGCGGGCCCTTGGCCGTCCACGTGCGTGTACTGCGCGCCGTCCGTGAAAAGTCGCCACGCCTCGTCCGGAGCCCCGACCAGCGTCAGGTAATACCCGTAGACGAAGTGCCGGACGGAGTGCACGATGTCGTCGTAATGCTGGTGGCCGCGGTACACCGGTGCCGGTCCCGCAACCGCCGTCTGAGGGACGGTCTCTACGCGTTCTTCGACCGACATGTCGCGTGTTCGGATCAGGATCGTCACTTGTGGTATACCACCGCGTGAAAATCTCGTTCGTTCAATAATAACAACAATGTACAATACAATACAATGTGATCAAAATGGCAACAACACGCACGGTAATAATAATTCCTAGACATTGTTTATTGTCGTTAGATGTACGGTGCGCGTTGCCCGAGATTATCAACAGTCACATTTCCTAGAGGCTTGCGTTATATTTTTTTCTCCGGTATCAATAAACGCGCGAGGCCGTAGCCAAATAGGCGTTTAGATTTTGGCGGATTTTCTTTTTTAAATAAAATTGAATGATTTTAAACGTCTGTTGCATTTGAAATTTGAAAATTTACTAGTCAAAAAAACATATTCATAATCGAACATCCTCTCCGCCCCGAACATTATGCTGGCCATAGTCTTGTACACGTGGACAAGTAATCCGTACTGGGTATAAGCACATGAAATGCGCACTCGAGACGTGTTTTTCGGCGGCTATAGAATAATATTTCGAGGTGGCCAATCTTACGGCTATCCATCTCGTAATATGGGCAGCTGCATACCATGAACTGTGTTTTAGAATTTTTTTCCATTACTTTACGCAGTAAAAACAGAATGTACATATAATAAATATTAAGATTTTTGATAGTTTGATTATGTGGCAAATTGTTTCAAATAATTTTTGATTGTTAATTGTTAATTTATATTCACGCTTAGTGCAAGCTTCAGATATTTGGTAAGATCCAAAATCGTACATTTATTTCCGTTTTTAATTAATTTTGTGTTTTAATTCATAGCTTCTTTAAAGTGTTCATGCATTTTAACATAGGCGTAAACTGAGGGGGGGCAAGAGGGAGCTATTGCCCCCTGGAATAAATAAGGAGGGGCAGTGCCCCCTCTGATATTTAACATACCTTGTTTTAAAATAAGTACAAAACAGCTGTTTACAGCTATTACTATATAATTAATTTTCAATTTTCGCTTACCTAACATAATGTTAGAAAATTAATAATTTTGCATAATAATATTTAGGTAGTAAACGACATTCAGCCTCGGACAGGGTTGGACTAGGGCACCGGGGCATGCCCCGGTGGACTGTTGTAATTTTGGTTAAATAAAATTACTTAGATTTTTTGTTTTTAATTTAAAGCATCTATCTCTTATTCTTAAAATAAAATAAAAAATATCGCCTTGTAACATGACATAATGGATGCGGTGACACAGGATTAGTTAACTTGAAGTTTGAAAATTGAACATATTGAATGTCGCGATAGGCCGATTGATAACAATGATTTCATCACAATATTTATGAAAAAAAAATTGTAGGAAATTTGAATACAAAATATGTGTACAATATGTTAATCATACGACGTACCGTTCGCATTTGTTCATACAACATTTAACCAAAAGAAAATGTTGGTGGGTAGACACGGTCGTGCAAGATATGCGATAACGAAATTGTTTTTCGATAGTAATAATTTTTATAAGATTTATTAGACTTTTATTTAAAAACATTTTAATAGTTTTAACGTTCAGTTAGTTACTAGTTTCCAACCTTTCTGTTGACTTCAAGTCAATTATTACCGGTAAGCAATTATTTTATTAAAAACAACATGTTCTAACTCAGTGCCAGATCACCCACTATGCGGATTAGACGCTCGCCTTAGGGCCTCACTCGTTTAAAGGGCCCTGTGAAAACGGAAAACTATATTTTTATTTATTTATATATACCTCTATTTTATATACGAAATTTTATATACTATTTTATATTTTACGAATTTACGGGACAAAAGTCATTACGAAATATAATATATATTAAGTTGTAGGTGTTATATGCAGTAATAATAATAAAATTATTTTGAAAAAAATAGAAATAATATAATAATTAATTAGTTTTCCTTGCAAATAAAAAGATTTAATAGACATGATTTTATTTATTAATAATAGTTGGATACTATTAAAGCTTTTTATTTTAATTATCGGATAGTATTGTTAAAGATGTATGTAAAAAATAACTTTGTAGGGCCCAAAATTTTAATTGTCTAGGGGCCCACAAATATTTAATCCGGTACTTTTGAGACTAATACCTATACTACAATATTAAATGAAAATTCAAGTCATGTTTGTATAATCATTTATACATTATAATTTATTAAATACACCAACATGTTTTGTTAAGAAAGTGCACAAAAATATTGAAAATAGAGGTCTGTGTATGCCTATGAATCAAACAATGAACACTTATCGGTTTGCCTAATATCTGACAATGAACAGCATTTATGCAGGGCCGTGTTAAGGGAGTCAAAGGGGGCAATTGTCCCCGGGCGCCGTAGTTTTTTAAAAGAAAGGGGGCGCCCTTATCTGCACTTAATATGCTACCTGTGCCCAGTAGCCCCGTAGAAATAATTTTGCCCCGGGGCGCTGAAATGTTTGACACGGCTCTGCATTTATGAGATACGTTATTGTTATGAGGAATAGCTGGTAGATGCAGCTGTCGTACAAATAGGTGTCTAAGCGAAGAAAATATGTTGAACAAAATTCCGAGATTATATTCCGAGAACCAACATCTGTTAACAACATCTTCGCAAGTTTTGTACTATCGGGTTTACGGACATCTCTGATAAGAGATAACACTTGTATAACACTACAATAATTACACTTATGCCATGCTACTTCGATTCATTCTAAAGTCGTTCATAATTTATTAGAAACTCACGATTAGCGGAAGTAAAAGTTAATACAAATATCTTAGTCAAAACTGTACAAGTTAGCTCATTAAGTAAAATATTTCATCTAAAATGTTAAATTGTTTGTCAAGGCAAATTCGTGCTCTCCCCTTTACATTCACAGCATCATGTCGACTGTCTACCTTACCTACATTGGAAAATATTGAATCTAGTAAGTATTTCAAATCCCAAATTCACTTATCTTATAGATTCTTTGATTATACATACTTGTATAATTATAATTTCAGCTGAAATCGAAGAACCACCACTGATATATGGTGGATACACAAATGTACGCCAAGCGTGGGTATCTAATTTGGATACCACCAAGGATAATTCTTCAGCCATCATTGATTTACATCCTCAAGTATTTGGATCAAGACCGAGAATTGATATTATACATGAAAATGTTGTTTGGCAAAGAAAGTATAGATATGTTGTAAGTTTTTTTCCTTCATTTAACCAATTATTTGCTTCATTGTAAATTAATTAACTTTGATTTATCGCTATAGAGTTATGCAAATACCAAAGTTACTGCTGAGGTCTGTATGAGTGGGAAAAAACCTTGGCCACAAAAGGGACAAGGACGTGCGCGACATGGTACTAGACGTTCTCCATTATTTAAAGGTGGTTCTGTTATACACGGACCTCGGTCTCACAAAACTCATTTTTATATGCTTCCGTTCTACAAAAGAGTTTATGGACTTACTTCAACATTATCTGTCAAGCTCATTCAGGTATGTAAATTAATAAACTAATAATTGAGAAGTATTTATTAATTACAACCCAAAATATTCAATTAGGATGATTTGCACATAGTAAAAAACTTGGATTTACCTTCAGATGATCCAGAATACATTAAAAATTTAGTTGATTCAAGGTTATGGGGACCTTCAGTGCTATTTATTGATGAGTAATTATTATTATTAATTAACGATGTATTTTATACAATTAAAAGAGTTATAATTAATTTTAATATATTATTTTAGTACTGATACCATGCCAAGAAACATCAGTTTAGCATTAAACGAAATCAAACACATGAATCTGATGCCTGTTTATGGTATGGTTTTATAAATAAAATCTCAAAATCGACTATCAAATTACTAAGAAAATATATTTTTTAGGTTTGAATGTGTACAGTATGCTTAAGTATGAAACTCTTGTTTTGACCGTTGCAGCAGTGAAAAAAATTCAAGAACGACTACTTTACCAACTACATAGGCCTGATTGCAATTATGCAAACAGAAAGTTCCAATTGAACCAACAGAATTAATATTTAAATTATATTTTTAAATAATAAATTATATAATAAATAGTTCTTTTTTAACTTTATTTTATTTTTAATTGAAAATAAAGTAACGATTGATTTGTTTTGATGCAATCAAATTATCTGACCATTATTAGAAAAAGTTATTCTTATAAGTAATTACTTATGCATCATTTTAATATTATTTTTTTTTAAATCCTAAATTTAATTGTCATTTTTAAAGCTGCCTCTTATTATACAGACAGTAACTGTGATAATTTTTATTTTTTGAGTTAAAATGTTGTCGATTTAGTAAAACTACTACTCTTAAATAATTCTGATAAGTAATGTAAACAGTAATTGTCTTAGGGATATATTATTAGTCTTATAGTTTTTTTAGTTATTTCCTTCATAAGAGAATCATGCACTTACTATTGCAGTGCAAGGTGCTGAATAATGTACCCACACAAATATGTGTTCTTAAAAATGGTTATTTTACTCTGAAAAGAAAAACATTAATATTAAAACTTAAAGGGTTCTGTGATACATTATTAACATTTAGTACTGAGGTTTTTTTGAATTCCCTAAAAAGCTGATAAGTAAAACTAACAAGTTGAAGACTATACATACAGCTCCTGCTGGATACTCTGAATGCATACAATTTTTAACTTAGTGATAGAATATTGATCAATGATCACTGTAAAAAGGTGCAATAACATTAAGTGCATTGATATTATTTTGATGATTTATTTTTGTTAACGAATTCCATTACATTACTATTTGATTAGATAAGATAAAATACACGATTTTAAGCAGTAATTAACTTGGACTAGTTTTTTATTATGTAAGGACGTAAAATGTATTTGTGTCAGAGTACTTTTACTATTTTTTTCCAAGTTAAGCACTGAATTTAGGCCATAATTGTACATTACAGATAAGATTATTTGACATGGTTAATGTCATTAAATTAATGTTATTACTTTTGTCATACTGATGATAGGATAATCTAAGAACTTTATAAATTTGATCACAAAATAATTTTTAAAATTGTTATTTATAATTTTTACATTGTAACTATTACTAAACTAACCAAGATCCTAAGCCAATAAAAGAAGGGCATCATCCTTCACCCTATAAATCGAATGCTGATTCTGTATTAATAAGTATCAAGATAAATTAATATGTAAATTAAACAAATAGGTGATATATAGAAATAAATAAATAAATGTTTAGCCTGGAATATTATTATATTTGTAAAGTATGACCGGTTTCAAATTAAAAATTTGTTGTCAGGTATACAAAGTACGTTATACAAGGTAAATAAAATTATGACTATTATTTTTATAAATATTGACTTTGTACATACCTGACGAAAAATTTTAATTTTAAACTAGTAATACTTTACAAGTATAATAATACTCTAGGCTAAACATCTATTTATTTACTTATTTATTTATATAATAATTTTGAGTATTAACCATTTAATAATTTTTATTTTTTAGTATTCAAGATAAATTGTTTACATACCATTGATCAATTATGTAATACAGTTTAAAATTACTGAGTAGCTTCTTGGTTTTTTTTTTCTTTTATAAATATTTAATTGCAATTCATTTTTGACTTTGTTTTATAAAACTAGAATAAAATAAAATAAACTTACAAATATAAATAATAATCTAAGCTTAATTCTTGTCTCAAATTGGGAAAAATGTTAGCGTTTTCTATTTTAAACATATACCTTCAGCATTTTTCATGGATTCGTTTTAAAACTGAGGTATATTGTACAATTGCTCCAGTTGTTCTAACTTAGGCCATCAAATGTACTTGTATAAAGGTCAAATAGTGTTTTTTGGTTCTTTTTTTGTCTAACCTAGTCAAAGCTCCTAGATAAAATAGTATAGAATGATAAAAACATTGTACAAATATCTATTTGTAGAATATTTTTATCATTTTATATACTTCTTTATCTATTAAAAAAATATTATGAAGGAAATTAAAGAAAAATATTAATTTAATAATAACAATGAAAAGCTTTAACTTATTATTATTAACACCACTCTTTGTTATACATTTGGATAGGTTAACCAAAATATACAAAAATATTAACTTATAATAAAATTACACAAAATTAACATAATAGTCTATACAAAAATACATGATTTTAAAATAAATCAACACAATAATAGATACATTGTATCAAGTGTCGCCGTCTTGTCAATAAGCTTATGTAATTTGACAAAATCACTTGTGAAACATTGTACAAAAGTACAAATATAACAAATTAAATAATCACGTTTTTGAAAACATATTCAATATAGCTGCACAAATCTTCTGAGGATTCGTTTCATTTGGATAATATTGCATGGCTGTAGAAACCTGTTCTTCTGGAAATATAGAAGCCAAATGATAATATAACTTTTGCCTTGCTTCTTGGTAACTGGGAAATATTTGAGGGTCTGAACAACTAGTTCCTACAGTTTGGGGTACATTCATTGGCATAGGTACAGGAGGTGCAGAAGCTATTCGTGTCACATTACAGTGTTGGCTTCGCTGCAGATGAAGTAGGCGTGGGTCGTATGTTGGGTTTAAAGTAAGTTGCCTCTGTAATTTATTATGTAAATTATCAGATTCCGATTCAGGTTCTCTATAATTGTTAGGAGTCCATACACCCCACAATTGTGGATGATTGGACGGAGTTGGAACATTAGACATGGTACGAGTCAATGGCTTTTTCGAGTTATTGCCAGACTGCAGAGGTAAGCTGACTGATTTTCCTTTGATTTGACGTCCAGCTGAACTTTGCCGCTGAGCATGTTCTATTAGTCGTTCAGTAACTGATTTTACAGGTTGTAGGCCGCGTTCAGGATGGTTAAACTTGCACTTGTTTCCATATGTACATTTTTTACCATATGGACAAGTCTCAGTACTGACTGCGGTTAATCCAACACCAGGAGCTTTGCTTCGAAGAAATACATCAAGGGTAGGACCTGAACGACCCAATGGATCATCTGGTGGCATAAATCTGTAATAACATTTTAATTAATGTTAAGCAAAAATAATAGATGCAAAAATATTGAAAAATTTATTTACCTGTCATTTACAAAAGAGTACATTAGTATATTATTTTGTACAACAGAACGGAATGCTGGACTTTCATTAGCTAGATCTCTGTAATTATCATTGGAAACGACAACACCATCTAATTCTGAGGCTAGTCGAAGTATGTATCGATCATCATAGCAAACCATTCGCTTGCCTCCAATTTCTCTAGACGGAGTGAAAACAAGCATCCTGGCACGTTCCAACTCCGTCAAAATATCTTGATCTAAACAGAAAAAGAAAAACATAAAAATTAGCTTTAGCTAACGTACACTTTTTTTTAAATAATTTAAATGATTTCCACTTACCAATAATTCTTCTATTATCAGGTCTGGACGCTTCTTTTCGCCATTTTGGTACAAACACCGTGATGTCTGTATGACCGCGCATTCGGAACCAATCGACACAGATTTTAATACCTCGACATGAAAATGTCTCTTTGTTCCCATGGCTAAAATTAAAAACACCAAAAATTAAGTTAATGAAGCGTAGCAATATGGGCAATCACACAATCACCTCATGGCGACATTGCTTCCATCGATTACAATATGACGGAGTTTGGGCGTCTGAAGATTTTGGTCTCCGGCATTAATGGACTGCGATTCTTCGCTGCTGTCAGGTTCACCATGCAATTTATGACCGCATTGCGCACCGAGTTTGATCAATTCCTATACGACACAATAGAACGGTTAAACATGACATCGCGATAAAATGCAAAAACAACTGTAGTCGACAAGGCTTAAGTATTGTAGACGTACGGCTAAAAGCTGATCCTGGGTGGGTTCGTTACCCAGTTTGTTAAGAGCCGCCTGCACCAAACGTTCGGTGTACCCGAGTTTGAGGGCGAAGTCCACTCTAGACTTGTACGCGGTCGCGCTAACGTAGTCTGCGTACTCGGCGCCAAGTGTATCAGATGTGGTCCGGCTGATGTCGTGATGACTGAAATTCGTACTGTTCGTATCATCGTCGCCACCGAAGTCCGAGTCGTAACTAGAATCGTCGTTGCTGCATTCGCCCAATCCCTGTTGCAGTTCGTTCAGAGAGTCCACGTAGCACTGTAAACACGAACAATCTATTAAAAACAAGATATCGAGACCGCGGAAACGCATGAATAGTTCGGAATCGTTGAACGAAACATGAGTGGATTAAAATTAAAAAATAAATCAAAACCGCCTGCAATCTGTAGCGTTATACGTATTTAGAAATATGTATTTCATGCGCGGTAAACAGTGAAATCATTCAAATATCATATAAACTAATTATACAATATAACCCGAGTCCGATTTATCTAAAACATTATATTGCTGTTCTGCAGGACAGGATTATGGTCACAATATAAGGGAGAGGATATTACTTTTGGCGAGGGCCTTTCATCCAAAATAATTTCATATTTTTATTCACCTTTAGTAATTTGTAGATAAATATTGATAGAAATTGAATAGATAATTTGTAGATAAATATTAATTAAAATATGTTTAGAATATTTGTATATTGTAATATGGTCGAAAAATGTATTGATAAAAAAGTACTCTTTACTCGTTGACCATTGTTTAAATAACACATTGTGGTCTCTTTCGACTTGCGCGGCCTTGGGTTATAGCCCCCTAAACCTACCTCCCCTTGGTTCAGCCCCATTGTTCCACGACGATGTGTATACGTGTATTGCGACACTGGCAACTGTACACATCGAGATACATACGAGATCACGATGACACACACGATAATATACGCGATATTGGTCTGCCGGAACACAACAAAAGGTGAAAACCGTTTTCCACCCCGGAGAACGTGATCGCAATAGCGTCGCAGGCAGCGGCGAGAACAACATCCGGTTCGCTTAGGCAAAAAGAGTCGCACGGGGAATAGCAGATCGGTCGGCGACCACTTCGATTCAAGTGGCGGACGGAACGGACACCGATGTAGGGCTGGGGCGATAAAACGCGCCACATACTTACTCGAAGTACGCCGGTAAATGTCATTTTTGTACGTCCGGACGGCAATGGTGGTGTTGCTGGGTGCTTTTACGCGGTGCACTGATGCTACGACGGCCGTGTGTACGACGGAACGCTGGCGAGGAAGACTACGGCGGTTACAACAACGTACAGCGCACGACGGCCGGCCGAGTACTACTGAGGGCCGTGTGCCGCGGCGGAGGAGGCGGCGGTAGCGCGCGGTGGCGGATCCGGATGAGCTCTCCGTGTCGTGGGGACTGCGGCGCGACGGATCCGGGAGAAACAACACGACACTGACCCGAATCGTCGCCGTCGTCGTCGACGTCGTGTAGCACTGTACAACAGTACAGCCGTCGCGGCCGCAGTCGCAGTCGCCGCCGCGCGCTCGCTCGCTTCCGGGAGTGAAGGTTCCTCACCGTCCCGCCGCCCGCCCACTCGACGCGCACTCCGCGACCACAACGATAGTAATACTATATTACTATACACACGCTTGCACGCGCGCACTCCGAATACACACGCGTGCTCGCGCTCGCGACGGAACATAACGCGGCGTGATGTGCAACAGGTGTAAAGGGTTAACGGACCTGAACGCCGCTTTGGCGCGCGGGGTCATGCGAGTGTACGCGAGCGCGGGCGAAGAGGCACCGCGACGCTGCACGACGACGAACGTTTTCCGTTTTCTTCCAGCACAAGAGACTTGTGAAGCTTTTACGCGTGACCCCCGCGCGACGCTACCGACACACGCGCGCGCGCATATTTCGTACCGTTTAATCCCCCGCGGAGAGGAGCGCAGCACACGGATCTCGTGTCGTCCGTTTTCTACGCGTACGCGGTCTGGTACACGCTTTCGGCGGGTACACCACACCGTTTACGCGTCACGCTGCTATTGCCGCGGGTCTGTGGGAAAATCGTATCACATCGTTCATACGACACAAATATACTATAACGGCTTTTGCATACCAGCTACCGCCCTGTCGTTTAAGGTTTAATCCTTCGGTAAACGCTATCGTAGTCGTGCTATCCGATACAAATTACCTACACAATTATGTTGATTGGCAAAAGTTAAATCGAACGAACAAAAAAAAAAAAAGACTCTAAACAGTTCATCAACTTTAGATTGATTTTTCGCTACTTTTCAGAATCACTTTGTATGTCGCTATAAATATTACAAGTGATACTGCTTTATTTGAATGCAATTTACTGCAGGTGTGAGTACATCTCATAAACACATGCGCATCATCGTATAATATAATATAATTGCCGGGTAACATCAATACGCATGGAAATTCATAATAGATTAAAGGCGATCTGATCTGTGGTATATATGAATCTATTCCCATAGCTGCAACTAAGTTTTTTTTTTTTTTTGGGAAGGGGCTAATTTTTTTTTACACTTTGTTAAATGACTTTTACTTTTTAATTTGTATCGGTAATTGGTGGATTAATATTTAGGGGGCTAAGTCTCTCTAGCCCCCATCTAATTACGCATATGCTTATTCACAAATGTATTTATACAAAGTCATCATCGGCGGATATCTATTAGGTATATATAATAATACAAGGACTGGAGAATACAGAAAATGTTTACAATACTATAATGCTTGTTGAATATTAAGTCAACCGTCATTAAAAAACGAGTCATATTTATAAATACAACAATTTTACTATCTTAACGCGTGCCAAAGAATATTTTTCAACTAACGATTTGAAATCCGTTTTTGTTGAATTTTACGCGACCGAGGATTACAAAGATAAAGTGTAACTAAAATCGTACTGTATGTATTAACCATTATAGAACATTCAATGTTACTTTTATAAACGAACAATAATTTTAATTAGTGGAGGAGCAGTAATTTTAAATAATTTTTATCATATAATATTTTACTGATAAGTTAACTCTGAATGGTATGAAATAACTAATAACTATTAATCTAAAAAAAAATATGTATAATAATGGTTTATTATAAATAATTAAACAAACCAGTATTCTATATATTGAAATACTTATACTAGAGATCTCTATAAATAGAAAAAATAAATATCCAAAAGAAAAAAGGAACTCCTTCCAATCTAGGCGGAAAAATATATGTTAAAATACCCTGATCACGTTATCTATCTAACATATTTTCGACAAACGTATTACATATTATTTATACATTAACGAAACATTCTTAACTAGATTATGTTTCTTCAGCCCACCTCGAGTTAGAATAAGTGAAGACTGATGAAGAGGTGACAGAGCTCAGAATACAGTTTTCAAATTTTACAATCTAAATTTCTTTGAAGAACTTTTAAATAAATGTTTTAATTATTACAAATATTTTCCTAGTGCTTTTGCAAGCCTAACACTTCTCTGTTTTATAACCAAAACGGCTAGTACGTTGAATACATTATTGTACGACAGGGGAGATATAGCTCATGACATCAACGGTCAATAATAATGCGTAAAACAATAGTTGACCATAGTCTAGTCAGCTATATCGTAGGGATTCCATTAAATAACTCTTTCGTCAAACATTCGTTATTCTTAACGAATACCGAATAGTCACGTTACTCTAGCTATAACCAGTATAATATATAGTACTAGATTTAAACATAAAATTTCTTGACTAGTATGATATGATGATTATAAATATTATGCTTATAGACTTTTATTTATTAATTCATGTTTATTTTATTTTAAGAAAACTGCGTTTGGTACTAAAGTCAAGTAAGTATTTTACACTCATGAAAAACCTAATTGAGTACAATAGGTACTTGTGTTATCATCACAACTTACAATTCCATGCTTATCGATTACTGCATGCTATTCTTATAAATTACTAACAATAATGGTTAAATCTCTACCTCACGGTCATTTCTTACAATTTTCAATATCGACAATTATTAACTAGGTATATACTCGTATATATATATAGTCTCTATTTTAAATAATGTAACATCTCCTACAGTGCAAGACCTACACATTACACTTTCTCTGTACACATTTTTCTTTTTATATTTTCTTTGTCATTCTGAGGAAAATAGTAAAAACGTGCTTATAACATTTCTATTTCACGACGACACATATAACTACCTATGTTTTACAATAATTTATATTGTTTTAATTCTTACATATAAATTTCATACCAATTTCACATATATAACATGAAACTACTATAAATATTTATGATAGTACTATAAACGACCATTAGCAATTTACATTACGCAATAGAATGTATATTTTATGTAACCCCAGATTTGTCTATTACATGAAATTTAAATGACCCCAACACCTGCGATAACATGTCCATATGAATAGCACTATATATCTTAATAATGCCCCACTTTAATACTTAATAACATTTATTCAATTTAAATACCTATAGCATATTCATAATATGTATGGTATGTAGCTATCTTTTTTTCTAACGGAAAATACGATACAAATTACATTATAACACTAATAAGTAATAACGTGGCCCAATAATTTTCCCATGTTACTATAATAATTTCATCGAAGAACTTACCTCCATAACCCAAAGAAAGTGTCCAAGTAAACTCAAGTATAACCTTCTAGATATTGGTCCGTGACATACTGATAATGGATTTATATTTTAAATTGTGTACATTTATCAAACGTAGATTAAATGACTAACTGGTTAAAACCCAATGACTACCAGTGATAGTTTTTTTTAATGATTTTAAATAGTTAAACATATATGTATATTTTTAATTATTGGTGTTTTTATATATTTCAAAATACTTAATCATTTTTAGCAAAAATATTATTAAAAATATTCTTTGATTTTTCTAATGTTCATTTACTGTGATTTATGTACCAAAAATAATAATTTAAAATGCAATTACATATGATGTCTATATCATTATCAATATTAAATTGGCTAATTAAATAAAATAAAATCATTTTAGCTATAATATTAAAAAGAAGATTAGAAAATTAAAAATACATTATATACTACACTTTATACCCATTACTATTTATCGAATTATACATATGCCATACGAATACTCGTCACACTATGTTGGTTAATATTAAATTTTAAGAAAAAATTATACCTAGGTCTTCATTCCACAAATGTTCAATTATATAGAATTTTATGTTTCTAATTTATATTTATATTACCTATAATAGTAATAATATATTGCCTTGAAGAAATCAAACCAGGATGATTTTCAATTTCATGGTTTATATATATATATATACCTGTATATAAGAATATAAGACAATAAGACAATTTAAGTATAATTCCAACAACAAAAATTAAACGCCGAGTTTGGAAAGCGTGCATCGTGAAAACGCCCACAATATTATACAAAAAAAAAAACAAACCAATTTATAATTTGCCGTTCTTTGAGAATTTGAGATTTACAAAAGTAAAGAGGTATTTTACTTACATGGAATTGTTTTAAATATTAATATAAATCAATAATAATAATCCATAATAAATTGTTAAATGATGGTACTTTTAATTTGACCAATAATTAAATTAAACGTTTTGATTTTCATGAGTTCAATTTTAACATTGATACTCATAGATACTATTAAATACAAATAAAATATAACAATGTAATACAACAAACCAATTAATTCATAAAATTGTTTATTTTTCGACACAAGAATCCGTGAATTTATTATTTTATTCTATATCATAAAGCTAGTACTAAGTAACACACTGTTAAGTTAAAAAATTAAACAGCAAAAAAATGCAAACACTTTAGTTATATTTATTAAAAATTAATAAAATTATAAGTTATAATTTATTTCAATTTTATTAAAATATACGTTATGCTGCTTTTGATAACAATATTACAATAAAAAATTACACAACAGAATAGTATAAACGTTATGAATTAGATTTGATTAATTTATTTGATTTGTTTAATTAAGTTACATTAAAATAAATGTTAAAATTAGTTGATATTTAAAATGAAAGTAGAGGTTAGCCTAAGTACGTAAATACTATTAATAATTTATGTTATTAAAACTCGACATACTCAATAGAAGGGAATTATTTCGCAAAATATAATTTATAACAGTATCATTTTACAATATTATCAATTGTATTAATGATTTGGGGACTATATTTTTTATATGAAGAACTAAGCTCGAAAATCACTTGATTGGATGAAAAATATGTTGATAATACCTATATTATACATAAGTGATCTATGTAAACATGTTATTTTAATTTGATATCAAATATAATAATACAGTATGTCATTAAGCATACGCACAATACTTTATGTAATCTAACAGCAATTTAATTTACGACATTTAAAATAATAACAACGAATCAAAAAACTAAACATCGACATAGAAAATTAATTGAATACAATTTACCTATTGTTAAAAATTAATAATATTAAAGATTCACATCTATAATTTATGAACTAGGAGAAAATGGAAAGTGAAGGAGTAGAACAGGGTAAATTATAATTTCTTCTTCTAATTAAGATTATACACATATAAATATAATTAAGCGACATAAAAAATACGATTGAAATGTTTTTATAAATGCATTGATTTGTGATGAACAACAAATTAATTATTTATTCTTTATCAATAATCGTAATTTTTTGTGTTTGTAATTTACTTATATTAAAATGTAAATTCAAGTAATACATTCAAATATTAATATTTTCTTTATGAATGTATTAAATATAATATCCACTTAAATAAAAAGGAAAGTATATTACCTTGATGTAAACTTAAGTAATAGATATTAAGCACTATATATATACAGGTTTTACTCAAGGTTTTACTGAATAAATACAGTACTTGTATAATAGTATATAAGTTTATTAGGTATTTGCTTGAAAAATTAGAGGATATGCACATAATAAATGTATATCTTATGCATTATATTTGGTTACTTATTATTATTAATATAAATTAAAAAATACTTATTTGTGTACAAAATTCGTTCACATGTGTAATTCGTAGAAAACTATGAATATATGTGCTAAGATGAAATTTTTAAAAACATAAACATAAGATTGCGAGTAAACACAACATTTTTTTTTTTTTTGACATTGAGTTAAAAATATATATATGTAAGGAAAACAACAAATGCATTCGAAGCTGCGCGGTATAATGATTTCGTTATCAAAATATTTTATAGGAACGATTGATCAGCAAAACTGAGTATCGATTAAAATTAGAATAGCAAATTAAAAACGTCTAAAATCAGAAGGTAACAATCCAATTACGACACATAAAATGCACAGATACAGGATCCTAAATAACGATTTAGGCCATTATTGAAAGGGAAAGTAAATCACACAGATATACGGACGCACGCACTCGCGTCACGCACACATCACACGAACAGGATGTACTTGGGCGCCTTTCACGTGCTTATGCATACAACGTTGCGGCATATAATTTCTATGAATATGAATGGGGCAGGCTGATATCTATTGTGCGCTTTTATTTTTGACAGGATTCAGTGACATATTGATTTCTAGATACTAACGCACGCACAATTAATCGAAAATATTTCCAAACCATATGAATCCTATTACGCAACCTAAACATCGAATAATGCAACAATAAAAGATATAAAACAATAACTTGCAACACCTATACCACCTGCAACAGTAGTAATATTTTTATTATAATTGTATATTATACGGTCGAGTGGGTATTTTTTCCATCAATAAGAGGTATCGTTATAACATAATATATAAAAATATGGTATTCATTTTAATAAAAAAAGATTACATTTTTTCTGTTTTATTTTTAACCAAATATCAAAAGTTAAAATCTAAATTCAATTAAAATTACTATATACATGTTTTGGACCCTTCCAAAAAAAAATGTTTAGATACGGCCTTGTGCCGAGGGCACATAATAGGTGATATGGCTTTGGACTGCAATCAACACGTTATTACTACACACAGGTGAACTTCACACGTACTGCAGTGAATGGTTAACGTTGTTGCACATAACCCGACTGTTTAAATCTCTCGTGTACGTGTTAAATATTATAAACAAACACGGTAAAACATTTTTTTAACAGTTATTAGCGATATAACTGGCAAACGGCAGCACAGAGTGAAACTATAATAACAATTCAGACTACGTCATATATTATATAGTACCTCGGAAAGGGAAAAAACCAATCCGACGTCGATTTCGCCATAATACCAACGTACGTGGTACATATTCAAATTTACATAATACTATCGCAACGACCGAAATGGAATGCCTACGCAGTGTGCGAAACGCATAGAAGTGTTATCGAATGGAAATTACTACAATAGTACGTGATCTTTCTTTACGACGATCGATCGTTATCATAGTAATAGGTGTTATATTTTCGTTAGTTATTAGTTATTATTACCTTTAACCGGTCTAACAATTGATTATCCGGCGCTTTGTACTCGTCCAGTCTGCTTACTGCGAACGTAGTCGTAGTCGTCGTCGTCGTCGTGCCCGTGTCGCCGCTGCTGTCCACCATCCGCAGCTCACATCCGAACAGATTCCTGATGGAGTCCATCCGTTCGACCACCAGACGTCCCTTGGCACTGTCCACCGACAGCATGTTGGCGTTGGGCGGCTGTCCGACGTCGTCCATCATCCGTCCTCGTCATATTTCCGTCGTCAACGGAGGACCATAGTACCAGTTCGCGACGGTAACGGACGACTCGCGTGCCACCACCGACCACGAACAATAACAATAGTACGATAGTAGTCGGCTACCGCGGTGTCAAATGCATTGCGTGACGACGATGTTGTACAGCGATGTTGACGTTTGTCGTATCCGACGTATCGTCCGATCGCACGGTGGGAGGGTCGGTGGTGGTAACCGTGTTGGTGCGCAAAGACGGAAAACCAACGATAACACTAATGTAATATTAGCGTCGTGCAACCACAATTAATAAGGGGCTCATTAATTATAATAAAATTAAAAACTAAAATATTAATATAATTTACGGGTGTACACCAGCTAAACACTATGGCAGTAACGTTACAGCTGCGACAGAAGTTATCAGGTGCAGTTATCATATCATACTGTTGTTGTTATTATTATTACTATTACACTTTCAAATGTGTGCGCAATCGCACTGCGCATTTACGAAATGTGTACGACGGATCGTTGTCGTCGCCATTTTGTACTACGGTCCACGACCGATCCGCTTGGTAACCGATAGTCGCTGTGCAGTCGCTGCTCAACAATACTCATCAGTGTTGGATGTGAATGTAAGCACAAAAAAAAAAAAATGCCGCTTTTTTTTTAGGTACCTACCTATTTAAATAAATTATTTTATATTTAGATAAGAACTTTTATTATTTTTAAAATCATCGAATTATAATGTAGTTTTGAACTTATAAGAACTACATAGGTAAAAGGTACATGTTATTGAAATTGTTTTCAAATATTACTAATTAAAAATATGAAATAAAAATATAGAATTATTACACGACCCACGTAAATTAAAAAAAAAAAATATATATATATATATATATATATATGTTAATATATGTGAAAATAAAAAAGGGAAGCTAGATATACTGTGGAATAATACATTTTTTTAAGAACGTTAAAATTATTGATCTAAGTACACACTCAATGGCTTTCGGCGTGATTTCTGAGCTGCAAAATAGTCAACTACATCATCAAATTTAATTTTGTTAACTGATTCTGTCGCTATTGCTAATAAACTCAATGAGTTCAATCTATCTTCATCCATGCTGGACCTTACATAGTTTTAATAATAATTAATAATTAATAATTAATTTTAATAAATAGTACCTACGTAATGCTATGTCAATATTAAGGAAATTTGTTTCCAAATTGCGATTGCAAATTAGCAGTGATAATTCAATGATCTCAACATTATTTTTATTTTTAACTACAATATTTTGAATATAAAACTTAAAATTAAGACATTTAAAAGAAAATTATTTCTCTAAATCGTCGCTATACAATTGTTGAAGTTCATTAGTTTTTTTTAATAATTTCTTCTGTAAAATGCTTATTTAAAGTAATCAAAAAATTATACTTTCCAAAAATTATTTTGTAAACAGTGCAACTTTTTTCTAGTATACTTTGTAGTCAATCTAAAATTTTAAAATATATTTCCACTATAAACTTTTTTTTGTCCATTTATAACAATGAATGCCGTAAAAAACAGATGTGCAGAGGGTGCATTGCACACAGGACCCGGCCTCAAACTATACATATTATGGGGCCTTAAAAGGTCAAATGCTCGAAAGCGTTTGATAATTAGGGGCCTCAAGGTTTTGATTCGCACGCGGGCCTCGTGGTCTAGTTACGGCATTGATAATAACTTAATTTTCTCTAATTTCATCTGTTTGAATTTTACGTTTTTAATTCCTTTATCGAATGTATATTCTTCACAGTTTTTAAATGTTTAGCTAAATTTATATTTAGATACAATAAAAAAAATCATAACGACGCAAATTTACCATCCTTGAAATATTGCCGCTGTAAATTCGTGCTTACTTGGTTTATTGGGAAATACGTCACTAATACTCATGCTTAAAGTTCTTAATGCTTACTACTTAGTATTAGTTATCGGTAACTGTGTTACCAGTTTAAGTTCGTTCTAGTCGAATACGCAAATACTTAGTAAAGTATTTATTTTTTATTAATGCCGATTCGTAACGCTTTTCAGTTTATTTGCAAAATAAAATATTATATTATGCCTATGGCGTACGTTATACACTCGTATGTTCATGTGCCGGAAAACAAATACAAACCATTATAATTAACTATAATATGTAGCTAATTATTATAATTCGCCGATAACTCAGTAAAATATAATATGTGCCAGTCACGTCGCAATGTTTTCAGCTATTGATTTATCAAAATAATAAATACTAGTGCAGATCAGAGTTGGGCATTAGTCGAATGAAAAATTATTCCATTGATTATTTGAATAAAAATGTTTTGTATTGCAATGTATTCTATATTAATTTATTTTTCATTTGATTATTTTAGATTATTTTTATTCATCGTTTTAATTTTTAAAACTATTCGTTATTCATTATTCAACTAGTTATTCTAGATTTTTTTATTCATTATTCAATTATTCGTTGTTCATTATTCTTCATAGTCGTTTTTATCTCGAATAATTCGTAGATAATTTAAAATTCTAATTTTATTGAAAATTGAAACCAGTATGTTTATTTTTATTGTTATAATATCCGCTATCGAAAATTTCAAAACCAAAAATCATAAATAATATTTTTATCTATGAGGGACTAATCTAACTGGTTAAGCGCTTGATATCAACATGTTATTTACCCACACAAAGGGTTTTACTATATTAGTAACATTTTTGTACTTCATTTAAAATAAAGTCTGACATAACTCGATGTAGCCATATTATAGGTGCTGAAATTCTATTTAGTATTTACTATTATTATTTTTGGTCATGACTATTATTCGTATTATATAAATTATTGTTATTATAATTATTTGCTTTGTTACTTTATATTTTACACAAATATTGGATATTATTCACTATTTATTTAATCAATTTATTCACAAGTTAAATTATTCGCAGTAATTTTTATTTTTTATTCAGAAGTTGAGTTATTATTCAGAATGATTTTTATTTTTCATTTGCAACTAAAACTATTTAAAATAAAATATTATTCTTTATTCATAAAATAATTAGTAGTTATTCATGATTTTATTTTTTATTCATAATTTGGATTTGTTTTTGCCTAACTCTGGTGCAGATTCGTTTAAAATTGTGTTGCTGCAATACATTTAAAAACATTTCTCTGGTTCCACAATGTTATCAGTACAATTTCCAATCAATTTCGTCTGTTATATGATCATCTACTATTCTATATCGACCATACCAACATGCACAGAAGTATATTGACTCGAGTGGCGATGTGGCAATCGCTGACTGAGCTTTTTTATATTGGGGCCACTGTTTTTAATTTAGGCTAATAAAATAAATATTTATATTAACAGTAACAATATTGATCTTAAAAACAGCATAAGTCGAAGTATAATATATATACAGTATATTGTATATCAATGACGGTGCTAGAGTTTGCAAGGCCCTGGGCAAAATAAATTTTGGGTCTTATAATTTATATTAATAAAATATTTTATGTTCAATTAAATCAGAAACGCGAGGTCTTAATCATAATTTAAGGCACAAGGCCCTGAGCAACAGCCCCTATTTTCCACCCCCCTCACGCCATCCCTATTGTATATACCAGGAGTGGCCAAACGGTCGATCACGGACGATTTCAGAGTAGATCATGTTAGAATTTATTTTTAGGCCACAAGCACGAAAATTAATCGTGGTTATGAAAAAATCGTCGATAAATTTTATCTGTATAGTTTTTATTTTTTATTCTGGTTTATAAAAAAATTTTTCTAGAAAGTCAATCTTACTGAAGTTCGAAGATGAAGTATATTTTTAGTAGATCGTGGCCGAAAAAAGTTTGGCCACCTCTGGTATGTACTGTATATATAGGTATATATAATATATCAAAATATAAAAGTACAATACTGTTTAATACAATTAATAGCATGAGCTTGGAAGGTTGTAAGTAAAATATTATTAATTTTATTCGACGCTTTTTATTTATATATTTTATGTGTCTTATTTATATTGATTAATAATAGTTCTACAGACTGCATTATTATGGATACTCGGTAGGTACCTAAATAACTATCGGTTAAAACGTTAAACGGATTTCAACAATCCGTTTAGTGAGCGTCTCACTAAACCGGGTCCTAAATTTGATGTCAATCCACTCCTTCCAACATGTGATTTGTACTCAGGGGTGGATTAACCCATCGAAAATTCGGGAGTTTTCCTGATAGACTGGATTGCTCCGTAAATGTGACTGTAACTCAATATCGTTATTAACGATTGTACACCGGCTATTTATTTGTTTATTTATCATTTTCTCACTGTAATGTTTTCCTAATTCGCTCCTTTTTGTACCGGCGGAGTAAGATTGCGCGCGTTATACCTTTGTTGGGTATACGATTGTGTGTGGTGCATGAATAATAATAGACATGACTTTGACCCTTTAAAAACGTACAACTGCGCGTGAAATAGGAAGAAAAGTTATCAAATTTCTATTACAATTATTATAAATATACTATGATAATTATTTTTAATGTAATACGAGGGCTATTCAGAAACTAGGGAACGTTTTGTAATAAAACAAAAACTAGGTACAGGAAAAATATTTTATTATATACATCTGAAAGAGTGACTAAAATGCTACTTTTCTACATAGTCACCAAACAAATTAAGGCACTTATCGTAGCGGTGGACAAGCTTCGAAATTCCTTCGTCATAGAAATCCGCCGCCTGCGATCTCAGCCACTGAGTGACGCACGCCCGGAGCTCGTCGTCGTCATCAAAACGCTGTGTCGCTAGCCAGTTCTTCATCTTCGGGAACAAGTGAAAATCACTCGGTGCTAGGTCGGGATATTTTTGAAGGCTGGAGAACTAGTGTAAAGAGTTTGTGTGAAGTAATAGACAATTTTAACGTAGAAGTTTGTGTGCATCAGGGGTCGGCTTTAAGCCCTTATTTGTTCTCTGTGGTAATTGATGAAGTTATGAAAGATATACAAGGTGAGATAACGTGGTGTATGATGTTTGCTAATGATAAATTTTGGTAGAAAAAAATCTGGAAAGAGTTAGTAATAGGTTGGATGAATAGAGGCCAGTCTTTGGAAGAAAGAAATTGAGAATTAGTAGAAATAAAACAGAGTATATGAGTATATAATATTGTGATCGTACTTAATAGATCTAGTTGCCAATAAGGATGATAAAAGGTATGGTTTAAATTTGTTACTATAATATAACTGCTAATTATTTTATATAATAATGATCTTTTATTTTATTTATACATTTTAAACATTAGTTTTGATATTATGTAGGTACTATTCGAAAAATTACTTGGTTTTTAATTTCTGTGCATTGATAAATGTATTTGATTCAATACCGCCTGCAACTAGGTATAACTTAAATTTAACTTTAAGTGAAATAAAGTGTACAAAAAGAGTCAACGTAATTCTTGAATTTACTTGTTTACATTTCTAAGGATACTTAATTTTGTTCAGTGGATCTTCCAAGAATCAAAGTATCAGAATATATGTAATGGCGCATTTAGGAGGTGGGCGAAAAGGGCAAATGCTAAGGCGTCAAATTTTCGGAGGTGGAAAAATTGATAGCATTTGCTTATGATGTGTTAATAATTTTTTAAAGTTTTATATTTTTTTCTGTATTGTTATTTATTTGAAACGCTTGACTAAAAATATGTATTTTAAAAAATATCGATGAACTTTTCCATAAATATAAGTTTTTGATTTCTTTAGCTACCATCCCCAGAGTAAAGGTGCGCGAAATGACTAAATTACTTCAGAAAGTATATCAGGAAAATTTGAAAATATCAATCCCAAATGAATGCATTCACCTCAGAGAACACTTAAAAAAATTATAGAGAATGTAACACTGTCCCTAAAAGTATTCGATGTATGTTGGTATTTATAAAACAAATAAACACTCGTTACATAATAATTATTTTACTAAAAGATACTTTTCTGCATTCAAGAGAATAAGATTATATTTTAGGTTAATCATTGGGGAAGAGAGACTCACTGACCATAATGAATATATAAGCAAATATAACCATAGAAATAGGTTATAACAACATAATCGAAGATTTTATAACATGCCAAGTGAGACGTAAAGTTTAAACCAGTGTTTCTCAACCTTTTTTATGTTACCATCCCCTTGAGTAGGAATCAATTCTTTAACGCCCCTCTATGTGAAAATTCTATAATTAATGGTATGGGCTGAGGGATATGAAAGAAGTTAATGATTTGGAAAATATGAAAAAAAATTTGAATAATTATCTCATAACTAATATTTTCATTTATGTTTTATTTTTCATACTTTTTTAATTATAGTATTCGTAAATTAATTAAATTAAACACTTGAAAAAAACTTAATAATTTATCAATTTTATTTTATAGCAATAAATACATTTTTTATTTTATTTAGAAAAAATATTACTTTTAAAAAAGATTTTAAAATCAAATAGATAAAAAATATTGCTTTTATTGTTTTTATAGATATTTACCCATGTATTTTTGTAGTAATTTTTTTTTAAAAAACACGTTTTTAATAGACTGAATATTACGAGTATAATAACGAAAACTAATGAAACATGCGCGGGTCAAATCAAACGGTTTACTAAAAGGTTGGTTAATATAGGTACCTACCTATAATAAAATACAATGTCCATGTACAATCGCTAAAATAATAAAGATAATAAATTTATTAACAATGAAAGATATGTTATTGTGCATTGCTCAACATATAATACCTATTAGTAACTAATAGTTATTATATGGATTATCAAGTATGAATTATTTTTAGGTCACACCATTTACAACGTTTTTGCGTGAATACGCTAACCACCCAAAACTAGTTCACCACCCCCCTACCGTCAAAAAATAATTCAATGTCTCCCAGTGATACTTCACCACCCACCGGGGGGCGATATCGCCCCCGTTGAAAATCACTGGTTTAAACCTATGATCTGTCAGATAGTGAATATTTGGTTTCTGTATAATACACGTAATTAAATATATCTTAAATAAGTGTTATAATAAAAATGACTGCAAGTTTAAATTTTACGTCTTATTTAAATTATTGTTTTTTATCTTAAATTATACAATAATAAAAAAATAATAATATGACGTTAAATTTATCTTAAATTAGTGTTATTATTTATTATTTTGTTGGGAAGAATGCCAGTAAAATGTTTGTCCTTAGGTGACTTACATCTAAACGTGGCACTGAATGTTAATATGCATCTAATTAATTATTTAAAAATTAAACACTAAACAGGTATTTTTTAAAATAGTATAAAATAGGTATAAACTTAATTACTCAAAACATTTTTTTCGACTTACAATTTTAACAAACAAAAATGTTAAAAGTAAATTATTTAAATCTTATTACAAATTAATTTAGTACATACACTATTGTATGTAATTGATAAAAAATAGTACAGTTAAAATTTAAAATATTTTCAAGAACGACTTGTGTAGCCAATATTTTTTAAAATTAACAGTCAAAAGGCACACCTAAGTTACCCCACTGATTGCATTACTATCCCAAAAATATCCCGTTTCAATCTTAAGTAATTAAAAAAAAAAAAATTTAGAATTAATGAAATTACAGAATATACCTATAACAATAATACTGTACGTAATTTTCTGACTCTCATTGACTTAACACATAAGTTATGTTTTTGTTACTATTTAATATTGTAAAAATAAACAAATTTAGAATATTTTTTAGATAATTCCGACAAAAATGAAACCTAATTTAGTATTTTCACTCTGTCTTAATGCCTAATATACACATTTTACACCTTAATAACCTAAACTACTATATCATAACGTGTTTCCCAACAAAAACACCACGGTTCAACTCATTCTTATTATTTACACCAATTAGGATTATTTTGTCTTCTCGGTTTTAAAAAAAATTAATATAGTACACCCAGAGACCTAACCATTTGTAAAAATACTACCTGGAGTTACTGAGAAAATCGTACATAGAAATTATAAAGGAGTCAATTTATACTATATATTATTGTTACATTATATATATAGATACACACATAGATAAGTAATATGTTTTGTTTGTCATATTTCAATGTTCAAATCAACATTGTTTCATTTATCATGCTATGACTAAATTTTAAGTGTACATAAAAGTATTTTAATGAATTTAAAAAACTGATGAAAGTAATATTCAAAAAATGTAGTTAATGAAAAAAGATAAACAAATTATTAAACTCAAAATTAAAAAGAACACCTATACATTTATATAAGATATTGCAAATACTTCATATTTTGAAATACCTATAGATCATTTAATGAACAATGATTTTTATTTTGTTATTAAGGAATAAATAATAATTAAAATTATTTGTGATCGCAAAAGTTCTGTTCATTATTATTAACAACATTTAAATGACACAATGGATCTCTGGTATTACAAGAGAAAAATAAAGTAGATATACAAACTAAAGCTTTTAATAACTAAGATTAAAACTGTAAACAACATTCTAATTGGAAACAATTTTAAATATAAATTAATATTTCAAAATAAATAACATAATAAAATGCATTATTAAAATTTAAAAACAATGTCATATACTTAAAAGTAGTAGGTACTAAACAGTCTAAAAGAATGTAATGTTTGAAAAAATATATATAAAAATGTAATAACAATTATTAATAAATGGAAATTTAGTTGTGGCGCATCAATTCATTATTTGCCTCAAATCAAAATGCTTGCCACATAATCACAATTAAACCAAGCGTATTTAGTATCCATTACAGGAACATACATAGTCCATGAAAAGTTTTAGAAAAAAATTACATGAACAAATTAAAACAACTATGTTAAGATTCTGGTTTGCCTCGGAATGTGACAGTATATATTTTACACTATTTTAAAACGACGCCATGCAAAGTGATAAATAGGTTCGGTAACAGATAGAGTTTTTATGCAGACTAGAACGACTAGGACGGTTGTATAATGTGGCAATATAGGCATTTTAGTTTTGACATGAGGCGTGTCCCATTCTGTTTGATTTCAGCTTGGGTATTTAGAGTAAAAAGATACAGTTAAGTCATGGTTTTTCAGTGAGCATGTCTTGTTTGAGTCTAGTTGCCATTCACCCAATTCAGTTAGATATTTGAATTCCTTATGATTAGATTTACTGGGTGATTTCTATTTTTAAACAAGAAATATAATTAATTGTGTTTGTAAGAAAATCATTAATTTTCTTAATAATTTTATATACCTCATTAGTAAACATGGTGATCACACATTTTTCTGGTTGGAATGTTTTCAACACTTTAGTAACAAGTTCCTTGTAAGAGCTTTGAGGAACATTAGTTTCAAAACTAACATAAGAAAATTCTTGTTGAGGAGTTATATGAATAGTCATATAATGTCCCTATGGAATAAAAAAAAAGAATCATAGTTAAGATTTTTCTGAAAAATTAAGTATTAATATTACTACTGAATATATTAATACTTAAGAATTTTCACATTTTATAAGAAATAAAACAATTTTTTATGAACTTGATAAACTAATTCTAGCACATGGTAGGTCACAGGAAATGTACCAAGAACTAAATAAAATAAAATACAAGGTATATTTTATAAGGTACTTTTTTTTTTCATACAAATACTAAACCACTAGAAAACTTTATAGTAATCTTGATGTAACTCTATAAGATTTTTTAAAGAATATTAAATAAGGTCAACAATAATCAAATAGAAATTAAAAAATTATGAAGAAAAAAAAAAAAAATTGAAAATGTGTAAAGAGTACATAATATGAAGAACTAAAATATATTTGATATCTAACACACAGCATGTAAACTTGGACATAACATTTAAATTATGTGACTGAGATAGTTAATTTTTATAAGTTAAAAAGTAAAATAAATAGGAATAAAAATGAGAAACATTTGTAGAGAGAAGCAAAATAGACGTTCTACAAGAAAATTAATATTAATTAAAAAAGAATATTAATAAAGTACTATGTGTGAAGTGTAACAATGTATGTTTTCAAAACATGAACAACTTAAATACTAAATTAAAAGAGCAAATATTTAAACATTTGAAATGTTATACAGAAGAAAAAAAAATGTTTTTTAAAAAAAAAAAAAGTTAGAAATTAAGAAGTACATATATGAATGAATAAATAGAAATTAATATAGATTAAAATTAATAAAATTAAATAAAAAAGAGGATAAAACATTTAATAAGAAATAATATAATGACAAAAATAATCGGGAAGAGGAATGAGAAACAAAGAATAATCTAACAATTATTAAATAAATAGAAGATAATTTCATTTATCTTAAAAATGTAATAATAATTAAAAAAAAGATAAATAAATAGATAAAATATTTATCTATTTATTCATCTCTTTTTTTCATTATTTTCATTATTTTTATATTTAATATACATAATAAAACAATATTATCTCACCTCTTTTTCAATACCATTCATTGAATAACCACAGGGATCAAACAAGAAATCATCAATTTTCATATTAGGCAATAATTTTGATATTCCAGAGTCCTAATATTGTAAAAGGAAATAATACATTTTACTTGAATATACTTTAAATTAAAATTGAAAAATACCTGAGTGGCTTGATTAGCATTAGCTGAATGTTGTTTTGTAAATATTTGCATTACGTTAGGATCCAATTGTGTCATCATTAGTTCTAAAGTTTGATCAGGAGTTTGCTTTTCTTTTCCATAACATTCTACTGGATGCAATGCATATAAATACCAAGAGTCTTTTGTTTTTGATGAACGCATACACCTAGCCATCCCAGCTGTACAACATGTTTAAAATAATGAATAAAATTGATTGTATTGTATTATATATTATATAAAACATAATATATTATGATATATCTACATACTTCCTTTAAATATGATGTCTAAAGTTTGAATTTCCAATTGAAAACTGCGGTATGTATCTTTTTGGAGTTCAGGATGCTCGAAATTTTTTCGCGAATAAAATACATCTTCAACTTCATCAAAACCGGTGAACTCATACACATAAATTAACAATGGTTTAATGTATTCAATTGGTGTTGTAGTACCACAAGTCTTCAATATGAATCGACGTTTAGCAACAAACATGCTACTTTCACTGTAAATATAATTTAATTCCCTTAAAATTATTTTAAAAATTAATGTTAATTTTTATAAGCCATTACTCATTATACAAATTATATAATATAAAAGTTGTTTATGCAGAATTGTGGCAGTGGGTTTGATCAAATATATTTGTAGTCTATTCGATTTACATTGACATTTTATTTAAAAATATAAAAATCAGAACTGAAACATCTTCGTTGTGTGTTGAAGGCCAAACACCACCATCTATGTTCTATTGCCAAAAACCATATTAACACATTTATATTACACATTTTAGGTCAATAATTATAGTTAATTAAGTATATACACACATAAATACAAAAAATCAGTATTGAATTTGCTTTAAATATTCATTTTTCCAGTAAAAAATAGAAGTTGATAAATAATTATTATTCTTAAATATACAAATCAAATATATAAATTAGAAAAATTAATTTTGAAAATATTTGTTGTGAGCAAAATACTTGTAAAAAAATATTGAATTCAACAATATTGAAAAAACATGATCAATTTTCATTCATTTTCAAAATATATTTTACATAGATTGTATATTAGATGTTACTTTTCAAATAATTCAGAAAATTGTAGGAATTTTGAAAAATTACAATTTTAATATGGATATTCAAATTTAATGGAAACTTAAAGCATTATTTTAAGATAGATTTTTTTAGGTAATTACCTCAGGACGTAAGCGTCTATTTCATCGTTACTGGTATAACTGATTACTTCACAACAAGCAGCTTTCAGGAGGTCTTCATATGTTTCTCTAAAACAAATAATCAATACATTTAAAATAAAAAATAAAATGTTTAATCTAAATACAATAATATGCTTTATTTGAAGTAATATAACTAATTATTTTGTAAAAAAAATGTTTTGTTAAACGAGGTTAAAAAATACATTAAGATTGTATGCTGTCATATAATAATATGTTAGTGTTGATATTTAATGCCTACATCATAAAAACAAGAACAAAAGGTTACCTAAGTTGTATGAAATGAAATATTAGTTTCATGATATTAATATGGAATACAATAAATAATGAAACAGTGTATATATGAACACAATTGTAATAACTATAAATATTGTAATAAAACATTATTAATTAATAATATGGATAGTCATACACAAAAATGTAACAATAATGTATTAAGTTAAGTTCAATAAAGTCTCATCACAGATTTAATGGAGAATTTTCAATAATAAAATATCATTTATTATAAATAAAATCATATTAAAAGCTCCAAAATTACAGCTATTAAGGAAAAATAAAATAAATGTTCAAACAGATCTAATACTTTAAAAGTGTATAATATACTATTGAAAAATTAAATATTTAATAAAAAATGTATCCTATTTCATACATTAATATAATAATATTAAAATATGGAAATATTAAAGATTAAAATATTAAAACCAAGTTTGATAATTAAAAATGTAATTTTATAGCTAATTTAAATTTAATAGACAATTTAAAATCCTATGTAATTAATTTGTACAAAAGTTTAATACCAAATTAAGATAGTTTGCTTATATTTATTCATATCAAAAATAAAATTAAAAAAGTTTAAGATAAAGAAAAATACAGATTAGGATATGCTTGATTAAGCATTGAATAAACAATCGTAGTGCAATTATTAAAGCAAGTCCTGTGTTTTATTATAATAATTAAATATTTAATATTGTAATATGATATGTGTGCTTAGAGAACATATAAATCAATCCAAATTCCAACATTTTTATGGATATACTTTATTGATAAATTATAAGTTACAATTAATAACATATGTAAAATACACAATATTACAGTTACAATAAGATAATCAAAAATATTTAATATTTTTATACTTAATAAATATTACATTAGTAAATTTTTTTTAACATACTCAATTTATAAAAAAAAAACAAATTTATGACTTAAGAAAGTTAAGTTTGTCTAAAGAAAAAAAAAAACTTATAAAAAAAATTATATTATTAAAATTTGACACCTAATATCAAATTATACTTAATAAATTAACCTAATATAATAACAATAATACCATTTACATTTCAAATTTTTAAATTGGAAAACAATTACTCAACTTCAGTATAATATATACAATTTAATTGGACATAATATTAAATAGGTAAATAAATTTTTGTATTTTAATAAAATTAAAATTAGATAAACTATGAAACATAGACTAAGTAATAATATATGGTGTTATAAATTATATAAATTTACATATGCTTTAAGTAAGATTATTCTTTAAATATGCATTATCTATTTTTTTTTTTTGTTAATTAAGACTAAGTATAAGGCACTAATTATAAACAAGTTTGATTAGTGCAGTTGTACATTTTATACATGTTTTATCACTAAAATTCAAGTATCACATTCAATACACTCATACACATTTATACTCTTATGTGCATAGCTATAGATAATAATTAGTATTTAGTATTAGTAAGTAGCGTGTACATTGATTAATAAATTTCAACAGTTTAAAAATTTTTTTTTATCATTTTATTAATTATATACAAGGCACTTTAGAATCAAGTTATCACACATCCTAGACAAAGATAAATTATGGTTATTTAATTATTGTAAATTTAAATCAGATAAAAATTATATAATATTACAAAAGTATAAAATAAACTACATATTAACTTAGAACTTAACCTTCATATATAAAAACAATTATTATGGTTTTTATTTTCATATTTTTGGCGCCAAAAATAATTGGACTTTTTCCAAGTGTTGCACTAAAATAAGTTATATGTAATATTGTTGTTTTTAAGTTATATATAATTATACATATTTGTATTCTTGGTTGACAAACATAAGAAAATAAGAATAAAAATAAGAATTTAAAGTAAATATAGAAGAATACATATTATATGCAATATGCACTGGAAAGACAAAAAGAATTTATAATATTAAATCATAATAAAGTCACTAAAACCAAAATAAATAGGTTTATAAATAAATAAGCACCATTTAAAACAGGCTTTAAAACAATATATTATATTTTAAATTATTAAATTAAAATTTTATGATAAACAAATATTTATTTATGATTAATTCAATTAAATATTTTCAAGTTTTTACAAGACTTGGAATTTACACATTTCAAAAATGTTTGTAATTTATTTCATTAAAACATTGTAACAAAATAAAAATGCACTGATTTTGCTAAAAAACTTTTAAAGATAACACATGATCAGTGAATAGAAAAAATGGTTTCAAAAAATGTCAAATAACAATTTAATTTACTATACAAACCTTCTGATTTTTAATTTATAAAATATATCATAATTTTAAATTATTAAATGATTAATAATGAAATGAAATTTTCATAAAAAAATACTTTTGAAGTGTTTAGAGCCCTTCGCATATACTAACAAAAAAAATATATTTGAATTTTATAGAAAAATTTCAAATACTTTAATATATTATAAAAATTCCTTCTGTTCTACATTATTTTCTTTTAAGTATCATATAAAAACCATGATAGTAGCTGAATAAATACATATTAAATATATTATAAATATATAAATTATATTTTTTTAATTTATATACTTCAAGTCATGATTTCATATGAAGTGATAATAACTGTGTTTTGATTTGTATAATTATAAAAAAGAAATGAAGCAACTCAAAGTATTCAGCATTTGAAATACCTCATTGAGCACTCAAGAAATAAAATAAATAAATTAGTATTTAAATTATATTATTTAATACCACAAAAATTTATTAATTATCATACTCTACACCTATTCTTATATATGTATCTAACTCAGGGGTCTTCAAACTTTTTATGAAGCGAGCCACATACTATTTTTTTTAAATCTTGCGGGCCGCATTCGTAGTAAAAACATGTATTATATATAAAAATTTAATTTATTTTTACAATTTTTAAAATTGGGTAGGTACATTTAATAATTTAAAAAAATTGCTATTGAACCATTTTTCTTGAAAAATGCGTTTTTCATCCGAGATTTTACGTTTTTTACTCACCGACATATTTTACAAATATTACGAAGAAAAAGTATGAAATTGAAACTTTTACACATAAACGAGAATATTGTGCTCGTTTCACAATCGATTACAAACCAATAGACAATAATAATTATATATTGGTAGGTAATTCAATTTATATTATCGCATATTTCTGATAGCAATAACTTAATTAACAATAATTTTATTGAACTAGAAAATATAAATGCTAAATTTAAAATGTGATCACGGGCCGCATATTATGACAGGAATGGCCGCAAGCGGCCCGCGGGCCGGGGGTTGAAGACCCCTGATCTAACTGAACAGTACTAATATTTGTTTAACTATTCAATATATTTACATACACACACACACATATATATATAAAGTATATTTATGTTATTAAATTTATAGTTCAAAACCCTACAGAAATAAAAATTTAAAAGTAAGTTTAAATACACAAATTACTAATATTATCTAGTTAATTTTTGGAATATAAATAATCATAACAAAATTCAATGCCAAGAAAATTATTAAATATAATTAAAATTTGATATTTTGGATTATGTTAAATGAAATTAGATAAAATAAAAATTAATCATAAAACAATATTTCATATTTCAAGTAATTATTAAACACTTTAAGATACACATATATTTTATATTCATTTTTTTACTGTTTAAAACAAAATAACAATAGGGACAATAGAATCACCACTTACATTTTTTTATAAAAGAGATTTTTAATTATTTTGAAATCATATTTAATCTACAAACTCTTTAGGGCTCAGTAAATTTTATAAATTTATAACACTTCATAAATTGTAATTTATCTTATAAAATAAAACAATTATTAGGGCTTATATAAAATTTTGTTGACATGATTAATAATTTTTTTCACAATGATTCTAAAATAACATTGTATTTTATAATAAGACAGTTAAAATGTAATCATTAAAGTAAAAATAAAAATAAAAATGAAAAATATAATAATAATACATATCATAATACTAAATTAAATTTTTAATTACTAATTCTAAATCTACAGGATTTAAAAGTTTTTTTTACACATTTTTTCATAATAAAAGAATGAGATTTTTTGATAAAATATATTTAATTAGCTTTATTAGAAAAATAATTTAGTGTATTATTTAATGTTAATAAATTTTTAAAAAAAAGGTAAGTTCTATAATATTGATCCAGTATTATATGACTTCACATAATTATCAATACAATTTTGTATTAAAATTATTTTTAGCATACCTACTACAGACAAGTTAAAAATTTATAAAATGTAAATTCTTTAACCAATTAATTTTAGAATTATTAAATAGATAATACATTTTAAATATTACATAGTAGCAATAAGTAAATGACAAAATAAAAATATTAAGAAAATAATTTTAATTCTATAAAAATTGTTACATTTTTAATGATAAAATTACACAAATTTAAAAAAACATTTTAAAACAAAACTAAATAAATAGGGAATAAGTTAATTGATAATGATAACTTTGTATACCTACTATAAATTTACTACATATTATACATTTATCTTTTTCATAAAAAATAAGACATGGATGAAATTAATATTTAAATATTACCTTGGTATTTTTCTTAAGTCTCCATTTTCTACTTTTCCGTCTTGACGTCCAAACCATATTTCAATACATTTTTCAGCTCCTTCAAAGAAATCGTCTGCAGCCATTTCGCCTTATTAGAATAGACAATAATTTTCAAACATTTGAATACTGTTTAACTGTTTAAAATTAAAAACCAACCGGCTACATTGAACCAGTAGTTAATCAGCGGATAACCGCCGAGGAAATGAAAGATGCTATCTCTCCGATGTCAAATAAAATAAAACTTGCACCACCTTGTGACCCTGGTATTATATATTAATAGAGGGGGAAAGATAACTCACCTCTTGACTGCAAGAAGTACTACTATGCACAATAAACAGGCCTTTTTAGATATTATTTCGAGTATTTTAATAATGAATGTGTGCTCGGTAAAAAAAAAATCTTTGCACTACAAACAACAGTAAGTAATGTGTACAATGTACTAAAGATGTACAACTCTCCTGCGTTGTGAATAGTGGCTTGTGCTATAGTTATCGGCAAAGCAATTATCGATTTTCGAGGAAAATTAAAAAAAAAATAAAGGTAGAGACTAACAACATAACCTCACATTAGCTTGTGATAACTAAATTCTGATAATGACATCATTTTACTGGGAAATTTAAAGTTTTTAATAATTGTTTTAAGACTTATGAAACATTTACAATCTTAATGAACTTTAAAAGGTTCAAAAACTATTCATAGATGATGTATATACATTTCGGATTTTGTTGATTTTATTTTTGATTGTTAAATATTTTATGTATGTCATTTGTTTGATTTTAAGTTACCTGAGTAGGTATTTGTTCTTTTAGATTTTATTTAGCTTTAAAGCTGAGCTTAATAAAAAAACTTATATTTTTCCATTGCCTTTCTGTATCCTTCTGTATCAACAGAGGACAATTGTTTAATTGTCCTCTGTTGACACTTCTATTGTTTGTTGTATATTTTAATATTTGTATGTATACTATACTATATATATATAGGTTGGTACATGATATGATTATGATTGCTCAAATTATGATTATACAATTAAATTAAATGGAAAATTATATTTATTCATTCGTTTTCTACCTATATAATCCATGCAAACAATATTGTTACATAATTTTAGATTAATATCAATATTTTTATTTGCTAGAGTGCTGGCCATTTGGTTTGGCTTACATATTAACTAAGATAACTCATAATTACTGTTCTCACTAAAGGGTCACTACCCGTTTATTATACATAAATTAATTAATAAATATTAGTTTATTGCACATAAAAGTTAAAAACAATGATAAATCTATGAGCCATCAAGTTTTGTTACTTAATTTACATAGTGATTGCATTAAAGTTGATTTTTTTTTTTTTTATTTAAATAATTTATCGTTAATAAATTTTATAATGTCCTTTATTTTAATAAATTGTTAAATAATGCCAACATTTTTTCCATTTACCTTTGCAACTGTGCTCAATATCTGATTATCGAGTCACCCATAGATCAAAGTATTTTGTTTTTGATTTTAAAATTTCATATAAAGATAATTAAGTCAACAGTCACATCAAAATTTCTATAAAATCAACCTGAAGAAGCAGGCCCGGATTGACACTATCGTAGGCCCTAGGCCCCTAGTTCTTGCAAGGCCGTTGTCCAGTATTCAAATCATTAAGAACCCTTTTCTTCGGGAGAGGAAGTTTTGAATCTCATGCAGTGTTAATATTTTACAAACAATAATATATACAACATTAAAATTAAATCTAAATTTTTATACGATAAAAGTTTTAATACATGTTAAAAAAAAATTCATTTAATCCAAAACATATATAATATAAATTGTCAAAAACCATAAACATTTTTTTTTATATCAATTTGCATACTGCGAAAAAATCGTAGCCACACATTTTCGTATGCCCAAAAAAGTTCGTAGGCCTTGGTATAGTGCCTATAGTGCCTATGCGATAATACGGCCCTGTGAAAAAGTAGGGAAGATAGATAAGTAGAATAAAAAGTGTGTCGTATTTGTATTCCGTAGAAATATTTCATGCTACCTTTACGTCATCAATAAAAAAGAAACCAACTACAAATTACAACACATGTTCTATGTATAACAAAATCATTTAAGGTATATTTTATGTAGTTATAGATACGGTAATTTACATAACATATAGTTAAGTGCCAACTTAGTGGGCACCATTCGTTAACAATGTCGTTAATAATGACGTTCGAAGTGATTATATTAAGATACTCATTGTATTGTGGCATACTTGAATACCTACTGCATGGTTGAGAATCACCGGGAGAGTTACCGCTATTTTCCTGTTTATAAAGGGTTACCCATATTTGTTATGACAAAGAGGTTAAAATTCAAAAACAATATCCTATAAAAAGAAGAAAAAATGTAATAAATTAAGTACATGCGAATCTACAAATCTATTATATATATATTTGCGATCTAAAAATTAAAGAACGAACTAAGTGGAAAATAATAATAGGCAGTATATACTCTTATAATTTTTGTAATAATTTAATAAGTATTTCCAATGTTGCTAGAATATTCTAGAATATTTTAATACTAAAATTATATATTTACCTGTTTTTATATATAACATTTTCTAATCAACACTAAAATAGAATAAAAATAATTGTTATTATAGGATCGTCTAAGTACGAATTTTATAGAGACACTACCTTTTTCAAACCATAACATAATATGGTTCTAATAGAAGCCTAAAAATCAGAGATAACGAAGATTTAATATTCTGAAACCCATAATTTAATTTATCTAATATAAATAATTTGTTAAGGATGTACGTTTATTATATTATCTAACAATTGCATAAATTACAATGGTAGTCATTTTGAGGTTTAACAACACTTGAGTTTATTATAAACTTTTTATAAATTTAAAATTGTAATTCTCATAGGATAACTATAGAAAAAATATTATGATAAATATTAAAATCTAAAAAAAAAAAATGATTTTTATTTTATCATTTCCTAATTAAAACCAATTATATTATTTTATATTCGATGAATGAGGAAATGTAATTCTATCTCTTATCCAGTTTTTTTTCTGATAAGCTTGACACTTGAGGGTAAAATATTTATTTATTATTTATATATACTGGTGGTTAATATAGATTTTAAATACTTGAAGATCAAGATCGAATCATTAATTAATATCAATTTCGAAAATGTAGATATACTATTATAAGATTAATTATACTTATTAGAAATCGTTTGGAGTATTATTTAATTTTTTTTATAAAAATTTTACTCATTTTTAAGAATAAATTATATTCATTAAAATTTTAAATGACATATTATCCCTTCCCTTATAATGTTTATTTAGGATTTTACTGTGGGGATAGTTTTAAAAAAATAAACCAAATCTGAAAACAAAGAGCAACGATAAAGATATATATTAAACATTTTACATTTATTTGTTCTGATTAATCTTGTTTTGATTTCAATGTTTGATAATTATAATTTTTATTTAAATATCATAAATTCAATAATTTAAATAGATATTTATATTAACGGAATTTTTCTTTTATGAACCTTCTCAAAGACAATAATTGGTTGAAATGTATGATGTGGTCATATAATTATTTAAATATTATGACTTATAATTTAAACAGTAAATATTATCTATTGAAAGTTTGGCAAACCTAATTTTTTAGTGGGGGCCATAAATGATAACACAATATGCTAAGATTAAAGTCTACAGATAGTGCAAAAAATTATATTAATTAATTTTATTGATAAAATTAATTTAAATATTTAATTAAACTTTAATAATTACATACTATCATGTGTGGTTTCACTATAAATGTAAACTTTCAAAAAATTCCATAGATAAATGATAATAGGGTACTTAAGTGGAAGATTTAGGTCCCCCAAATAATAACAATTTTAAACAATATTTAATAGTTTTCGATAAAAAAATTCAAAAATACATACATAAATACAAGGGTAAAATAAATTTTTAATTAGGCATTCGTTTTTGATGTTATAAATAACTTAAATTCAATAATATTAATGGGAAATGCAGCAATGACTTTTATCGAGCTCAAATAGATTGTTAGAAGTATATTAATTTAATGAATAACCATTATAATCAATATATAAATAACTATCAAGTACGTAATAGATTACCTACATATTATTTTTATCAGTTATTAATACAATCTAGTTGTTACCGTTGGAAAAGTTAGGATACCTTTTTAAAATAATTAATTACTTTAAAAGCACAAAAATTGATAAAAAAAATTGCTTCATAAAAAATGTTGTGTGCAATACATTATATTGAACTGCAGTAATCAGTAAAATAATTACATTTAAAAATGTTAATGCAATTTGTATAAATTTAAAACTATATTATATTAATAATATTAATTATTAAAATAATATAATTTGATTGGAATTGGAGATAAACGTTAACGAGTTGGATTGGATGCGTTTTGTTTTAACGATATAATATTTTGTTTATAATTTGCCAACTAAAGTACTTTTTTGATGAATATTTCATGAATATGTCATGAATACAAATATTGAAATTATTAATATACCCCTGATCATAAATCAAATAGATAAATTAAATCAGCCTCAATCCAATATTACTTATAAACTAAAATAATATACATGTATATATATTTACTATGCATGGATATTTAAGAGAGACCATATATCTATATTAGATAACAATTAATTACACTCTCTAGTATTGACGGTGACACAATATATTATACAAGATATAGAGATACATCTCAATATTAATTTCTACTATGTATATATATATATATATTGGATACGTAAACATTTTTATTATAAGCAAAAATATAGATGTAGGCTTATGTATTTGTTACGAATTTATGTTTGACAAGCTATGGAATTTATTAAAAGTAAGATATAATATTGTATTAAAATTTACTTTTTTATATAAATAATAGTTGATACATACATTTTGCACACGTATATTTTAGTATTTGCTGACCTAATTTTAGCAGTTAACAAATAAAATATGAAAGCTAATAAAATTAAATCAAAATTTATAATTCGCCTTATATACCTTAATACAAGATAACTATATAATTGAAAAAT